GCCGCACAGCCCGAGAGGCACAGAACAGATGGATCGAATTTTTTGCTGACATGGAAGGAGGACAGAGAATGACTGTTGAAGCCTACAAGGAACATTGGAGACAGGGCCTTTCTCAGTTCATCAAAGAAGCCTCGATTAATCTTCAAGTCACCGACATACCCACACTCACAGAGCTTGAGCATGCCTTTCGAAGAGTGCGCCCAGGGAAAGCTGTTGGATTGGATGACATACCTCCTGAACTGTGTCATCACTGCCCGGCCAGTATGGCGAAATGGTGCTACACCATCATGATGAAAGCTGCCCTTTTTGGCCAGGAATCGTCAGCCCATAAAGGTAGACAAATGGCCGTGGCGTGGAAGCATCGTGGAGATGTACGCGATTGCACATCACATCGCTCCTTACTGATCTCCAGCCACATGGGGAAAACAATTCATCGCGCGCTGAGGCAGAAATACCACAGCTTTTACACACAGTATTTGCAAAGGCAACAATTGGGAGGTCGACCGTGCATGCCAGTTGGAATTCCCCTGCACATTTCAAGGGCCTTTTTGAGATGGCAGAAACGTGCCAACCAACCGACGGCCATGATCTATCTTGACCTCACAGAAGCATTCTACCGTACCTTGCGGCCACTGGCCATTGGAGGTGAATTCTCTGACCATTGCATTGGTCTCATGTGCCATAGACTTGGATTCGAGACGGAAGCCATGCATGAGCTTTATGCTCTGCTCCAAGAACCATCAGCATTGGATGCGGCAGGGGCACCAGCCCATGTCTCCAGAGTGTTCCGTGCCTTGCACCGCGACACGTGGTTTCAATTAGGTGACCAAACTGACCTTGTACGAACGGAAATTGGATCCAGGCCAGGAGATTCTTTCGCTGACGTGGTTTTTGGTTTCTTGTGGGCCAAATTGTTGCGACGCTTGGAGTCCACGCTGGTCGCACACGGCATCCTTGAGCAAGTGCCCGAGGTCACCCTGCCGGATCCATATCAGTGGAAAGATGGTCCGCCGATGTCCTTGTTGGGGCCCACTTGGATGGATGACCTCAACATCCTGCTCACGGCTTCCTCCAATGCCGCACTTGTCACTAAATGCCAAGTGACGTTGAGCATTTTGTTGGATGCATGTGCGGCTTTCCAAATGGCCCCCAATCTCAAAAAAGGGAAGACAGAAGCCATGTTCACATTCAGAGGCACACGATCACGTGAGTTTCGCCGCACTTACTACAGCAGTACTGTCGGCTTGCCTGTGGTTTGTGAAAATGCCATGTTTTCCATCACTGTTGTCAGCAGATATCTTCATTTGGGGGGAATTGTGCGCCACAGAGATTGCAACCGGCAAGAGATCAAGCGCAGATTGGTCATCGCCCTGCAAGCCTTTCAACAGCATAGGAAACTCCTATACCGAAATAACAACATTGAATGGACCACCAGATGCCAATTGTTTCAATCGCTCATTCTCAGCAAACTCACTTATGGCATGGAGAGCTGGACTTTCCCGATACAGAGTTGTAGGGATCAAATCCACAGTGGCATTATGAAGTTGTACAGAAGACTCATCGGAGTCAGGCATTCTGCACATCTTACTGATGCCGAAGTCCTGGTCCAGACTGCACTGCCTGACCCAACGGAGTTGCTCAGACGAGAAAGGTTGAGGTATTTTGGCACGCTTCACAATTGCGGTGCCCAGGCACATTGGGGAGTCCTGCAAGAAGACCAGGAGTGGGTCGCCTTGATCAAGGATGATCTCACTTGGCTCTGGCACCAACTTCAGGGTTCAACCAACTTGCTTGATCCAACACAACATTTTGCACAGTGGCAGGATATCATTGTCCATCATGGTAAATGCTGGAAAAAGCTCGTACGGAAGGGTGCCACACATGCCATCATGCAGCGGAAAAATGAATTCCATGCTATTGAGCTTCATGCACGAATAGGTCAGCTCATGCAGGAAGAAGCCCTGGTTGACACGCTCCCTGTGCAACATTTGCATGCCACGAATATCACGCAGCCTCATCATTTCGGATGTATGCAGTGCCAACGGAAATTTGCGACACATGCGGGTGAATGCGTACACATGTGCCGTACGCATGGTTATTTTGCACAAGAGAGGCGTCTCTTTGACGCCACGCACTGCCCATGTTGCCTTAGGGAATTTCATACTCATTCGAAAGTGCTGGCTCATTTGAGACATGCAAACCGCTGCAAAGAAATCTTGCAGGGACGAAGGATCAATTGTCAGCCAATGCCGGGATCTGGGTCACTCATTGACAATGCCCTGCATGAAGCAACTGATGGAGCACAACCATTTTTGCAAGCCCAAGGTCCTCAACCACAGAACCAAGTGCGTCGCCCAAGAGACAGGTACGATTTGGATTTCTTGGAAGCCATTTATTTGCACCTCCTTGACCTGCCGAATACTGAGGTACTGTCCGTTTCGCTGCGCAATTTCATCCAGTGCTATCCGATCAGTTGGACGCAATGTCAGAGAACATTGCAACAAATGGCAGTACAGATCAACCCAACAGACGCGGAACCCCTGGCTTTTTCAAGACAGGATGTCATCCACTGCTTGAACGCTCTTGCGGATGCTGATAGTTGGCCTTTCCTTCACGAGATTGATCGTGCACCCAGCACCACCAGTTCTGCAACACTCACTGACTGGGAACATTGGTTTACCAAGCTTGCCACCCATCCATTGGAGAGTTGGAAAGATTTGCAACCGATGCCCAGAGCCTTGACCAAACAGAAGATCCTTTTACATGCTTTTGCAGGCCGCAGAAGACATGGAGATGTGGAATGGTATCTTGAGCAGTTGCATAAGCAATGTGATGGTTTTGTAATCATGACTGTGTCATTAGATATCATCATCGATTCACAAATTGGTGATATCTCCAAGCAGGAGACCAGATCTTTTTGGTTGCATTACATCCGCATGGGATACATTGCTGGCTTTCTTGCGGGACCTCCCTGCAATACCTGGAGTAAAGCCAGAGCCATTGCTTTGCCAGATGGAAAAGGCCCAAGAGTCATCCGGACTCCGCTTGCGCCATGGGGTCTGGAGTCATTGCGTTTTGGTGAGTTGATGCAGATCACTTTGGGCACCATTCTTTTAGGTTTTGCGTTAGAAGCTATGCTTGCACTTGCCTTGCATGAGGGAGCTGGTATTTTGGAACATCCAAAGGACAGCGAAGACCCGGATGCCGTAAGCATATGGCGGCTGCCGGTTGTCCAGGCCCTTCTGCAAATACCAGGCATGCGGCTGGTCAACCTTTCGCAAGGTCTTTACGGCGCCCCATCACCGAAGCCAACGACTCTTTTGACACTTCGAATGCCACACCTTGAGCGCTGCTTGCACCAAGGCATGCTGTCGAAATGTCTTCCTACGGGAATTTCTGTCGGCAAAGATGCAAGCGGACATTTCCATACAGCTCCGCTGAAGGAATATCCGCCAGGACTATGTCGCTCCATTGCGTCCAGTTTTTACATTGATTTTTGTACATCTGGTCTCAGTGCGGAGCACGAGCCACTGCCATCTGCGTTTTTGGATCAATGCACAAAAATGTGCGATCGCGCATTTGGCGATTTCATAGGGCATGACTGACATGTCACGCTCCATGCTGAATTCACTGATGCCACTGCCGCAACGAGATTGTTCCGACGTGCAGGAGGAAAAAAAATATATACATATTATATACATATAATATACATATAATATACATATTATATACATATTATATACATATTATATACATATTACATACATATAATATACATATTATAATATACATAATATATACATATAATATACATATAATATACATATTATAATATACATATTATATACATATTATATACATATAATATACATATTATATACATATAATATACATATTATAATATACATATTATATACATATTATATACATATAATATACATATAATATACATATTATAATATACATATTACATATTATAATATACATATTGTAATATACATATTATATACATATAATATACATATAATATACATATTATATACATATTATATACATATTATATACATATAATATACATATTACATACATATAATATACATATTATAATATACATATTATATATACATATAATATACATATAATATACATATAATATACATATTATATACATATTATATACATATAATATACATATTATAATATACATATTATATACATATTATATACATATAGTATACATATTATAATATACATATTATATACATATAGTATACATATTATAATATACATATTATATACATATATTATACATATAATATACATATTATACATATTATATACATATTATATACATATTATATACATATAATATACATATTATATACATAGTATATACATATTATATACATATAATATACATATTATAATATACATATTATATACATATAATATACATATAATATACATATTATATACATATAATATACATATAATATACATATAATATACATATACATATTATATATACATATTATATACATATTATATACATATTATATACATATTATATACATATTATAATATATATACATATAATATACATATAATATACATATTATATTATACATATTATATACATATTATATACATATTATATACATATTATACATATTTTACATATACATATTATACATATGTATACATATATATATATATTATTATATTGAGACTGGGTTCGCCACATTGATCATCCCATATGATGGCCAAAGAAGATGTTGACATGGCTAGTCAAACATCCAACAATCTGGGTAAATTATAATAATTCACTAACCTGAATTAAGGCCATTTTGGGATGATTTCCCTTACTAACCACTATTCCAGTGAGGTCGCAGTGAGGTCTTTATAATTTGCCCAGAACAATTGTCTCAAACCATTGCTTTGAAACACCTCCATGTTCAAAAAATCATCGACGATGTCGAAATCTCGATGTCGAACCCCGCCTCATAGTCAGGCGCATAGGTTCTCCATGTGGCCATCGCCAGCTGCACCATCCGCGGCGGAGGCGGCTGGTGCCAGAAGGACCAGATCCGCTTGGGAAACGCCGCATGGGACGAAGACGAGGCGTCGGCGCTTAAAGCGTTCGCGTGGAGAAACAGCAGGGAGAAAACATGGGAAAACATGGAGAGATCTTGAGCCAAAGGCAGAATATCAATGATGAAATTGCCAGTTAAACATCTTTGACACCACATAATTTTTGGGGATACACTCAACGGTTCTACAAAACAAAGTCAATTGCTTTGAGCCTCAGCTTACCACAAGGGGCTACCAACCGGATATCCGGTTCTTCAGCATGCACGGTTCCTAACCATCATGGCACTTCACTAGGCAAAAAAACATGGCATTCCACATAAAAACGTGATTGGTTCAAAAACTGAGTCTTCCATATCTTAAAAAAAAACACAAAATGGTTCATGTAGGAGTGAAAACAATAATTTTAGAAACAAAAAGACACAACACAATTTTCATTCAACAGATGGGTATGATGTTCAAAACCCTGTAAATACAGCACACCCTGTATATACAGCACACCTTCTGTGCCCATCAGGGTTGCTATTTTACCCCAACTTTTTTGAGTAGGTCCACCGATACTTAGCTAAGTTGGATCATAGTTTCGATGGAGGTTATGGCAGATATACCGAACTACATTTTATGGCTTTATGAACCAACAAACATACCCTCTGGTAATTTGTTACATAGCTATTGAACATGACCATTTATAGTGGATTTTCCCATTAAACATGGTGATTCTCCATAGTTATGTTAGTTTACCAGAGGGTAACTTGGGGGGCACCTTGTAAATAATTCTAAATCACCTAACGGTTGGCTTATTGGGACATGACTTGAAATATCTATTGGTCAATGGTGTGTGGTGAAACTCTTCTGACATATTTCCAGGATTTCTATCACCATTACCCTTGGTGTTTCTCCCATTGTGGTGATTATCCCATTGATATCCCATTATAACATCTATGAACTGTCCCAATAATATGTTATCATTATCATATCGCCACATCACAATTATCGCACTTACATATACTATATGCCAGATATATCTGTAAAACTATCTGGTATTACTATTCTTACATCTCCGTATGTCTGGGTATAGTATGCAATGTATGTTCATAATGTATGTAATACTATAGCAGTTTTCTTTGTAACTTCTATTGTTCACATATTGTATCATATATTGAACATATATTGATCAGTATATTTAGTATATAGTTTTATTGTTTTAATATCAGTATTATCTTAACCAAACAAATACATGTATATATATATATGATATATCATATGTTTCTATCTAACACCCTTTGGTAATCAAACATAGTTCGCTGAAACATCCCTCATGTATCGATGATGTCAGCTGGAAACCTCCATTTATGGCTATAGTGTTCCGATGTTTTCACATCATTGTCCCATAATTTTCCCAGAATTTTCCATGATTTCCCAGATTTTCCCGTGGTTTTCCCAGATTTTCCCATGATTTTCCCATGATTTCCCATAATTTTCCCAGAATTTCCCATGGTTTTCCCAGATTTTCCCATAATTTTCCCAGATTTTCCCATGATTTCCCAGATTTTCCCATGATTTCCCATAATTTTCCCAGAATTTCCCATGGTTTTCCCAGATTTTCCCATAATTTTCCCAGATTTTCCCATGATTTCCCAGATTTTCCCATGATTTCCCATAATTTTCCCAGAATTTCCCATGGTTTTCCCAGATTTTCCCATAATTTTCCCAGATTTTCCCATGATTTCCCAGATTTTCCCATGATTTCCCATAATTTTCCCAGAATTTCCCATGGTTTTCCCAGAATTTCCCATGATTTTCCCAGATTTTCCCATAATTTTCCCAGATGTTCCCATGGTTTTCCGTGTTTTCCCTATGGTTTTCCCATGTTCCAAACCCACGTCTGGCTTTTCATCGCCGAGGCTCCGAGGCGGCCGTCGTGCCGGTCTGCGGCAACAAACCCTGCGAGAGGGTGCGGTCTTCCAAGAGCCAGGAGGCCAGCGAGGCCACCTGCGAAAGGTGGGGCCAGCGATTTTTTGTGAATATAATCACTATAAATCTTAAATGGGATATATTATAGAACCATATTATTATTATAGAACCATATTATGGGATATAATCCCTATATATCTATGAATCAATATAATCACTATAATACTTAATCTTTAAATGTTCTATTAATAGTGAATATCATAGAATTATTGGGATGATAGTATCATAGAATTAATAAGAACCATAATAGAATTATTAAGAACCATAATACTAGATATTGGGATAATATGGCTCTTACATGTTCTTAATAATGGTGATAATGGATTAATGAATTGTATTACCTGGTTGGTTTTAACCTACCCCTCTGAAAAATCATGGAGTTATCCATATTTTTCGTATTATCCCATAATTTGTGAATATAATCACTATAATACTAGATATTGGGATAATATTGATTATTAGGATATTATAGATACTAGTTATCAATATTTTTTCTAGTGATTGTAATTATATTATGGGATACAAATACACTAGATGATTACAACACTAGATCTTCCAGATTGTGGGAAGTGATTTTTTTGATCATCTGACATGGCAAAACAATAATGATATAATAATAATATTATTAATAATATAATATCCCGATTGTTTATTTAATAATCCATATTATAATATGGTTGATCATCTGACATAGTTACAATAAGACTATAAATCTGGATATTTCTGAATATAATCATAATAATCTGGATAATCATCAAATGTCAGATGATAATATTAATGATTCTTTTTTGGTCATGATCATCCAACATAATAATGGATATAGTTATAATAAGATTATTAATATGGATATTTATAATTCTATCATCATCTGACTAAGAATAATAAGATCACCTGATAATCTATTACGGCGATAATTGTGATATGGTTCTTAAATGTTCTTCATAATGGTGATAATAATGGATTAATGAATTGTATTATGGTGATTAACATTGTATTATTATCATGGTTAATGGGTTAACAATATTCTCCCATGGCTTGTTAATAATGGATGGATTATGAATGGGTTGATATTATATGATGGGAATTATGATGTATTAATCATCTGAATAATGGTGATATGGTTCTTAATTATGGTATCAATAATGGATTGTATTAATGTTTTCCAGTGGTTTATATATCCAATCATATTAATGGATTAATAATGGATTATAATGTTAAACATGGTTTATATTAATAACAAACATATAGTTAATGTCAATGTATATTAATGTTTTACAATTTGCTGCTGAACAGGGTTTCCAGTGGGAGGACTATGTTAATATGTTAACATTGAGAATTTGTTCTGGTTCTATTGGATATTACAAGTCCATTAAATACGATTAATTTAATCAATGTTTAACCAACAATGGATTAATAATGTTAATCTGGATAATATGGTGTACCTCTAGATTTGTTGACCACGTTGGCTATATGGCTATGGGTCAAAACCCTGGTACCCTGATGGTACCCTAAGTCATAGCTGGTGAATGGATGGTTACTCATAAGGACTCATAAGTTTTAAGCCATCCCCGGATAATGGATTGAATGGATATATAAAAATTGTATTAAAATGAATAATAATGGACTTATATAATGAGTTAATGTCATATGTATTGAAAAATTGTTAATGGATTGATATGTCTGGATTATATGGATGGTATGAATAATAATGATGATATTGTTAAAACATGTTAATACATATGGATTGTATATGGATAACATGAGACCATATATATATATATGGAAAAATATTGGTAACATATTATAACCTCTTGGCAATTGGTATAACCTATAGGGAGTCCCGTGGGATTAATGGCCTATTGGTATAACATTGGAAAATAGTGCCATGCAACATGTGTTGACTGCATTGTACTTGCTATTCTCCCATCTTTAATTTCACAAAACATCCGACCATATCGACAATTAAGGATGGATTACAATTTCGTGATGGATTAGATTAGTACTGAATAAATGGTACATAGTGAGGATACAAAAAGATGAGCAGCATATGTTAATAACATACCAACCAAGGATGAATATATTGGGATAACATCAAGCAACATTTAGATGAATACCAACATGAATGATGGGGCTACCAGGAAAACAATAGTTGGATGACCAGTCAATGAAATCTGAGCGTTGACCTTGCATGTTGACCTTGAGGACCATCAGGATATTCTATCCGACAACCAACGGGATGATATCGGCCCTCGACTTGTGGTGCTTCAGGACGTAAAATGATGATTGATCAGTAGAGTAGATGGTGATTTTACAAGAGTATCTTTTGGAAAATCTTCAGAATATCCAGACCCCTCTTCAAATCAATACGTTCAAACCTCTAACCCCCGCCAAAGAAAAAACAACCCAAACAACGAAAGAAACCAAAGAAACGAACAACGCATGTCTAATGGATGATCATGATTTTCCCCTTTTTGACATGTCGTTCTTTGGGGCAAAAAAACAAATGTGTTCAGTGAATGTTCAGACAGATCCAGCAGCGCACCGGCAGCAAGTAGGTGAACTCTGTCAGATTATACAAGTCCTGCGGCGATATGGCGAAACTGAGACGTTTCAACCGCAAAAATGGTGGATTTTCAACAGAAAACTGTGGGATTTCCCAGCATGAACGGTGATGATCCCCTAGGTTTCTCAGCCATGGAGTTCAATGGGATTTGAAAAAATCCCATTAAAGGCCCAATAATACCCTATATATATATCGATATACGCGCATATATATAGTGTATATATATATATATATCTCATAGAATCCCCTAGATCATATTGGTATCGCCCAGCTGTTGCGATATCCCCGTGGCTAATAAAATCAGGGCTCCTCGGTTCCCAACGGACCCATGCCATGCAGTTCCACATCGCGCAGCCCCGAATCAAAGACACAGTCCAGCACCTCGAGTTGTGATGCCATGGCGGATGATGGAAAACAATGGAAAAAAGACCCTTTGTCTGTCTGAAAATGGTCACTGATTGAAGTCTGTTAATCTCATGGGGACTATTCTTATCATCAAAACTAAGGTCATTTCAGACCTTTCTAAATGGTCATGGAAAATGGGGAACTAACCATGACCAGCGAATGGATTTAGAAGTACCATGGATTTTCAGACAAACTAAAATCCTTTCTTATTACCATGTTAATAACATTTCATAATATATAGTTACACAGGGACGACTAGATTATCATAACTAACTACCATACTAATCAAGTGCTAAATAAAGACTCATATGATGGTTGACATACGGGGAATGGATGTGTTACTCATATTATATCATAAATTTACCAATTTACATAGAATTTACCGTATTTCACACATGTTCAATGTTAATGTTGAACCTATGTTAAGTCCCATGTTAGTTCATCAATGCTCCATACTTGACGAAGTGTATGTAACTCATGACATTTCTCGATGATTCAAGGGTGTTAAGTGATGTATTTTTGGTAATCGTTTGGATAGCTATGGAAAACACATGCGAGCAAATGATGGGATGAATACGTAATGCCAGGTCATGCCACATTTTTTTGTGGGATTCATATGTCATCCTATGATATGATATACCCTCTGGTAAACTAACAGTTTGCTATTGAAAATGATTATTTATAGTGGAATTATCCCTTAAAAAATGGTGATTCTCCATAGTTTTTTGTATGTTTACCAGAGGGTATGGGATAATACCATATAATACCCATGGTTCTTGGTTCCCTAGAGTATCTCTTGTCAAATACAACCCTGGGATAAATATCGGCCAAAAAAACATAGCAAACACTGCGGAACAAGCTTCCAGCTAGATTTCCAAACTACACAAATGGTTCAGTTGATGTCAATTTCAAGCCGAACAAGGGAAAGATTTCATCACACTTTGATTGATTAGTGTTTATTGGTACCCCAAATCCCTCCAACACCCCTAAAGGAATTTTGAAGCCGTTAAGACACAGACAATGTGTTTAACTGGCAGAGGGGTTGCCCCAACTGAAATCATAGACTGGACTACCCTCTGGTAGTCAAACACGGCTGGAAAATCCTCCATGTCTAGTTGATTTTCCATCTAAAAGCCTCCATTTAGTTCGGGGATTTTCCCTCTTGCCATGTTTGATGACACTGGAAGGTATTTCAGGCCATATTCCATGAATAGCCCATGAAGATTCCACGATATTTCCATGAGAAACCACCAGTTTTGTTGTTTATGGCTGGATCTTCATGATTCTTCCATATCATTCCCATAAAATCCAAGCAAATTCTATTAACATCCCAAATCCCCATGGATTTCTTCCATATCATTCCCATAAAATCCAAGCAAATTCTATTAACATCCCAAATCCCCATGGATTTCATCTTTCGCTCCAAGCGACAGAGAGCATCGGAGACGGAAAGCCACGAAAGCGATGAAGCGTCGGTCGCGAGTTGGCCTCAAGGAGATTCGGACGGAATTCTCTTTTGGACACGTCTGGGAATAGATTCTGGTTGTATAGATTTGTATAACTATGACTGTAATCTAAAGATATCTAAAGCATATAATAGTGTGTTGCTTTATTTCTGGGAAAAACAGAGGCAACTCAAGTGTCATGAGTCATAACTATAACACAACTGCCTGTTTTTTTTACAGGTTTGATGGAGTCTGAGTATTGTTTTTGGTTGTAATAACAATGGGACATAACGGGACTATAGAAAAACCTATATGAGTTGCCAATTATAATCATGTTTGTTGTCAAAATATAGTTTCTGCATATAAACTTTTATAGCTGGCAACTCATGTGGTATAACTTTGAGAATAAACGCAATCTTTGGGTCTGGCTGGTGCTTAACCTTACTGGTACCACATTACCCATATTGTTGGTCATATCCACTATCCCCACCAAATAGTCCAGTACACTACTCTTCCTCATTTCTAGATGGTTTACCACATGCCCTCTGCTAATTAAATGTAGGGAAAACTACCAATTTCGTTTGGAAATTTAACTGCTAATATTGATGTTCAATGGAAAACTGTCAAATTTCCAGCTAAATCCCATTACATCCCAATGATATCCCCAACAAAATGGGAAATATAAAATTGTCTTTTTGGATAGTTCATGATATCCATTGGGATTTCACAAATTTCATAATTCTTGGGATATCCTGAGGATATGTCGTAGTCAGTCCCAGTGCTGCACCACTGAGCTCCCCGGCATAGAACAGTAACAGGTTCTCCGGCGGATGACTCGGCTCCTTGGTGTGATGAAAGCTGGCGTACCTGGCGATGGACAGCTCAGCTCGGGCGGTTCCGATTGAAGAAAAGCCACACGAAGATCAAGTGACAGATCTAAGATGTATGACTGATGTATGTTGTTCAAAGATCCGGAATCTTTGTCCAGTATAAACTATATAAAAACTGTTTCAGTGTTTCATGGATTTAAGTCCCCCAGTCCGAGTCTCTTTGTCCATCTCGTGCGTAATCCCAACATGTGGTTTCTTCAAAAAGAAGCAACAACCTGCAGTTTGCTGGGAGGATTCATCCCATCCCGCGGTCCCATCGGTAGCACTTCCACTTCACGTAGATGGAGCGTGTCACCAGGAAGAAGCGTGAAGCGATCCACAGGATGTGCGCTTCATTCAGCGGAAAGGACCTTGGCAGAAACTTGGGAAAATTGCTCGAACAACTCTAGATAGCTTGGATTTGCTTACTTTTTTGGGCTCCCCACAAAATAACACAAAATAACACAGATTCATACAGATTCCTTTTTTGGATTCCCCAGTCATGGTGGATGTTCCTTTTCCCTAAACAAAGCCAGGATATGAATGATGTTCGGCAGCAAGGTGCATGGACATGTTCGATAAACCTTGGTCGCCCAAGAAGTACAGCACCACCAAAACACCTCGAGGCGGCGAGGGAGTCATAAAATTCAACGTTGTTAAAACCATGAAACATTAGTATCCTCTGGTAAACTAACATAGCTATTGAAAATGGCCATTTATAGTGAGTTGTCCCATTAAAAATGGTGATTTTCCATAGCTATGTAAACGTTTACCAGAGGGTAAGTTGTTTTATAAGTCCAACAGCTAGGATGAATCATGGCAGATATGGCAGTTGAACCCATTATAAATCAGTCATGAATTAAACCGGAAAATCAGCGGGCTAACCATCAAAGAATTCGACTAATGACTGATCTTCAACTGACATCTCATCATGGGGCCCATGCGGATGGGGACTTAACCACTAATAATGGGATAAAAAGGGTTCATGGGATGTAGAAGCAACTTGATGTGTACGATACATCTCGAAATGGGGTATACCCCTACGTATTGACAGAAGAATGGAACTCAATGGATGATTCTCGGAGCAAATGTCAGCAAACACACCACATCTCTGAAAAATGAATAGACACATACAGACACACCAAATCTCTAAAAAAAATGACACATATGATTTTGATACAATCTGATCTTTGTCGGGTCCTTGCTACCATCACTTTTTTCGAAAAACTCCGACGTCTGATGATTCATCCCCTGGAATCCGTTGAACTGGTGATATGGGGCTGCCGTGGCCACACAAATCCCAGTGAAATCACCATCTTTCCCAGGCCGAATCATCCCAGGCCGCTCCAAATGATGTGGGAAATACATGGAGCCATCCCCCAGGCCAGGCCCATGATTGGTCCTTGACCGAGTCACACATCATGGTGTAGACCTTAATGGCTCTGAAGTGCCGCTTTCTTCTCAACTTGCCCATCAGCATGGACGCCACCGCCGCGGCCAAGACGTTGTCAAAGACCTCGTGCTGAACTTCACCGTGCCGAAAGGACAGGTTGGGGCACCTGGACCCAAAATCCCAACAGGTTGATATGAGAATATAGTTAGATGATGTTAGATGGGATAATGAACCAATCTATGACATGTTTTTTTTTGCCAAGAAGATTCTGTATGAAACTAAATTCAACCAAAATTGCCCCAATCTATGCTATCTTTCGATGCATTATGTGGATCCCAATGCAGCAATCCTGTGGTCATGTTCATACAGGGTGGACCCCCCTTGATGGCTAACCTTGCTGAAACTAGAATAAGTAGGGTTTAAAACTGGAAATCTCAACAGTTTGATCGGTTATACACCACTTTAGAACATGCTATAACTGGGGGGATCCCACTTTGTAGGGAAAGTGTTGATAGTGATGATTCAGCCGTGGAATTAGGTGTATAACTGACAGAGGTCACCATAAAACACCATACGTGACGCCTCATGTGACTCATGGAAGTGGACCTAGCCCAAAATCATCCAATATCACCTTGGTTCTGTTGGTGAAATAGCATCCAAAATCATTGAAAAATCATTGTCATGCAAAAATTATCCGAAAATCATACAGAATTTCTTCTGGCCGCCAGACAGATGCTATGTTTTCCAAAACGTCTGCTTTTTGCTTTTCCAAACGAGGGACGGTGAGCACTAAGCAGTCGCAGATCGTTAGCTGCTTCAAGGCCAGAAAAGCCAAGACCTCGAGGTCGAGTTGAGGTGGAAAAGGGGCAGATGCTATCGATATCGATGATTATTATGATTCGATGATTACTCGATATGTATTAAAATGTATCTTGGGTACTATACTATGATGTTGTATGTTATGATAATTATATAATATATACAGTATATATATAGAGACATTATAATATATATATTATCTTATTATCTTATACGATGTTAATTATACAGGTAATAAGTATCTGCTTTCGACCAGTCGTCATTGCTGGGATCACCAATGATTCGCCCAGTTCCATTGGCCATTGTCATCACTGTGATGAGCGATGATTATTAAAAAAAAAGGTCAATCTTTAAAAACCGTGCAAACAAATATCTGGGTAAATTATAATAATTCACTAACCTGAAATAAGGCCATTTGGGGATGATTTCCCTTACTAACCATGATTCCAATGAGGTCGCAGTGAGGTCGTTATAATTTACCCAGAAATATGACAAATATCTGGTTAGCAACTATCATTCCAATATTCCAACATCATTTCATTGAATCCGAGAAAAAAAAGGCCAAAAAAAAGGCAATACTAATCTGGTTGGTTGACCTACCCCTCTGAAAAGTATGAAAATCAGTTGGAGTTATGACATTCCCAACATATGGAAAGTCATAATCCAGTCATATTCCAGTCACCAACCAGTGATTATTAACCATTATTAACCATCATTAACCATCATTATTGGTATATCATCCCATTATAAAGATCATTATCCCATTATAATCCCATATAATACCCATATATTAACCATCATTATCCTACATTTCACCAATGTTCCAGTCACCACCAACCACTAATCCATCCGAAAACCGCCAAGGTGCCGCAGCCAGAGCTCCGAAGAATCCCAAAATCGGCAGATCCTTCACCGGTGAAAACGGATTGCGACCCGCCTGCCGTGGGCGGTCGGTTCAGGCGTGTCATGGACGTGGACGTCTGGTTGAACCTGTCTGGAAAAGATGTTTGTCAAATCTGTGAAGATCCATTCGTCAATCCAAGGGTTTTGTCGAATAAACCATGATTCTAAGTCCATTTTTTAAGTCCAAAGGTTTCCAATGATCTTGATTCTTTGTCCTTAATTGACTATTAAAGCATTTTGGAACCACCATCGGGAATGATGGAAAGAGAGAAAGAGAAACTTCTGGATGTACTTGGGTATCAGTATGAGTATGAGTGAAATTAATTAAGACCCAGAAAAACCAAAGGTGAACTGGTCATTTTGACAGACAACTAGATTTTTTTTGCACCATCAAATGAAATTGTTCATTCATAGGTGATTATATAATAGGTGATTAGCTTAATGTCAGTATATCAAACAATCATAATTGATAGATGATAATCATCATTATATATATACACATATACATATAATATCATATAATATATCCAACAAATTTACCTTCATCCAATGCTGGTTTTTGTTGTGGTGAACGTTCATCGCCATGCGCCGAGAGCGCCGCAGATCGCTGAGCAAATCCCATGGTTTTGAACCCCATGGCCCCATAGTCAGAGTCAATGATATCAATCCTGGTTTATAGATGTTTATAGTCTTGATGAAACCAAACATCTTTACATATCTAATCATGTTTTTTATAGTATATAATTTATATAATAGGATTATAGTAATGATGAAACAAACCATCTTGACATATCTTTACCACTTCAATCATATCATTGACATCAACTGGCTCCTTTCATCTCCGCTTCGAGCCCGCTTCGAGCCCAGCCTGTCGCTCGATAAAGAGTCGCGACACCACGGAGGTCAAGACGAGCCAAGGCCAGATCATCATGCTGTAGGTGTAGACCTGGCGCCACTGGCCCCCGTTTAGACTTTAGACCAAAAGTGGCCCAGCTAGTTGGAACCAAAAAACAGATGGCTGTGTTATCTGTGTTATCTTTTGACATCCAGTTGGTCATGATATGTCATGATGTAAAGGCAATGCCATACATAAACAATTGGGGTGTTTGAAATAGGGTATGCCGTATACCTCTTTTGAATGCCAACATCAACAACATCAACAACATCAAGAGTATAAGCAGCAGCTCCAGAGCTCTTGATGAGCGCTCATCCTTGTTCTACTTTTACCCCCCAGCCCAGCAGGTGGAGTTGGCCTGGAACAAGCTGTCTTGAAATCTACCAATGCCTCGCGGTGGGAACTCAGGGAAATATCATCAAGTCTGAACAAACCTGAATGCACCCTGCAGTATTTCTATTGTACTTCATGTGATTGGTGTTTTATGGTTTTTCACAGGCTTCACTTTGTTCACTTTTCTGCGAGCGGTATAGTTCTGGTGTGTTCCTGTCCAACCATCCCAGGCGTTTCTACGATGATTCTTATGATTTTTATGATTTTTGGTAGGCGCCAGCACCGTGGCACCCAGCCGCACCTAAAACGAAGAGGAAGATCAGCGTCAGAACCAACGCCACATTGGAAATCAGTGACGCCTCGGGATCCGTTGGGAGCCTTGCTGTGCCATGGATCTATGGCTCCGGAGGTGGACGGGTGAATCACCAGAATCTGATTGAAATTCGCCCAGAAATTCGCTAAATCCTCAGAGACAAAGCCCACGATATTCCACTATCATATTGAATATGAACTTCTTCTTTGAAGCACATCCAAGATCACCCTGATTATCCATGATTATCCAATATCTGCTTCAATGAGGTTAATTTCTTGAAAAATCTCTATACCCCCATCCCCATGAGATGTCGAAGATGGCTGCGATCCAATGCGATCCAAAGGCCATGGGAGGACATGGAATAAATCTCCAGAGATTGTATACCTCGGCACGGAGTCCGCGCAGTTGTGACTTGGAAATGGAAAAAAACCTTGCTGGTAAATATAATATATATATATATATAGAAGACATAACACAATATATAACTATTGCTGATTCAAAAAGAAAAGACCTGGATGAATTGAAGTCTCTCAACTTGTTTTCAGGTTCTAATGTTCAGGGTCAATCATAAGAAAACAAACATCACATTCTCATAAATTGTCAACACTGCACACCTGAGCCACAAAACATATCTATCCTATCCCATTACACATGGTTGGTAAATGGGTATCCCGTTAATTTTGGGTAGTTCACACTCCCCAATAAACCCGTAGTATGCCTTAGAAAAACGAATCAACACTTTCAAAATTAAATGCATTCATCCCATAAATATCAAAGATATATAATATATATATATCCAATCAATGTCCCATGAATATAATCATTGATATCTTATCAGATCCTAACAAAAATCATCCTTAATTTATACCCATCAATAGCCATCACGTAACAAAAATCATCCTTAATTTATACCCATCAATAGCCATCACGTATGTCGGGTATGTTTAACGGCTCAACGACAGATCCAGATTTCGATTTCGTCCAAGGTGCTACTCTCAGGAAGGGCAGGCAGCTACCCACAGAGAGCAATAACAGCAGATTTTCCACGTAGTAATAGGATTGCAAACCTCAGGACTTGGGGAAATGCCATTTTGGTATGTTGATGGCCTTGGAGAATTTTTTTTTTCGGAAAATGCTACTGTATATCATGGCTATAGCTACTTGGAAATCAGGACTTTGCAACTTGGGAACTGGTGGACTTGAAAGGAACATGCCAACAAAAAAAATCATGGGCTCGAAGTGGTTTGGATATCCCAAGCTTTTGCAACAATTTGTCATGCGGAAAAAATGAATTTTGAACCGATGGGATTTGGGGGGCACAAATTTGAGACAAAACATTTCAAATCGCTGCCGCTGTAGGCTTTTATATACAAGATAAAGGCATTTAAATGGCTACAAGTAGGCATCAGCTAGGCATTCTTTGCCATGGCATGATTGAGATCATCTTCAATCATCCTGTGACTGAAATATGCAATGGCACACCACTGATGTTGTTTCAATGCAGAACAGCTTCCAGGACCCAGGAAAAACATGACAGGTGAGAGGTAGCGTCTAGCTGCTTCTAGCTTTCTAAGATCTAATAAGATCTTCAAGGATCTTCAAGGCACAAATGGACCACCTGGGCCTTTTTGGAAATTGCGACCGAGATCGACCGAGCCACTCTTAGCCAAAAGAAGTTGAAAACTTTCGCTTCCCAGAACCTGAGAAGTCCAAACGAACCGGCGGCAACGTGCCTGCAACCTGCCTTGCCAACTAGCGTCCAGCCAACCCAGTTCCCCGCCTGCAGGATATAGACCAAATAAGCACGGTACCTTAGTAACGCCCATCCCAACAGTGATCCCCCACGAACTTCCTCTGAAACTCTCGGAATGAACCCCCCATTTCACCGGCCACTCTCTGTTTGTAGCCAGGAATCTAGCCCAGCTGATTCTGGTTATGTTAACAAATGAATCTAGCAAAATCAAACATAGAATCTTCCTGTACTTCTTCTGTTCTTTTCTCCAGCTTTGCCACCATCAGGACAGCCTAGGTGCTGATAGGCACTGAGCTGTGGTAGCAGCAAAATCTGCAAACATTTTGTCAGCAGAAGGAAGGCTTTGTTCACGCGCACGCCCAGGTTCAGGCCTCGAAGGAGCAAGGTCTGTTACCGGAGGCACCGGGTTGGTCTGTTGTTGGGGAGTTTACCACACAAATCTGGTTGGTGGTTGACCTACCCCTCTGAAAAATATGAAAGTCAATGGGAAGGATGACATCCATATATGAAATGGAACATCAAAAATGTTCCAAACCACCAACCAGTATCGCATTTGATGGGGATTTGGCGGTTTTGATGGGGGTTAACTAATGAGGTATTGAACGGTTCAACATATCCAAACATGGGGAAATTGTCAAGATATGACACCAAATATGGTGCCAATCACGTTTTGTTGTACCCATGGTGAATTTCACAAAAACGGGACTAGAAACCAACAAGATGGCGCTCTGTCGAGTCGACGGAGGAGCTAGGTCTAAACTTGTTTCGGATCGCAGTGGTTGGTGGACCATGCAAAAACACTCTGTGAGGTGCTGAAACTGTGACTTGGAGAAAACCATAGGACCATAGTGTTGGGCACTTTTTTGTTGGGAAACACCGGTTTTCCGCTGTTCCACGAAGCTGGGGTACAAATGCGGATCAACCGTTTCAGGCCATTCTCATCTTTGGAGTCGCCAGGCTTCATCTGACCTACCCGAGCTGAAAGAATCGGCGAGGCAAACAACATGAAATAAGTTAGAAATGATTCATCCAACCATCAGTTTTGGACCACGTCGAGGGATCAAGATGGTGGCCCCACCACTTGGGCCAAAGTAATCTCCCAAATTCGACAGGTCGAAGCTGAGAATTCAAGGACACTGAATCCCAACATCATCAATCTCCAACTCAGTGTGAATGAATTCAACCGCGTTACGAATTCGTTACGAATTCTTTTAGAGGGGTCAATTTCCAGCCCCTCAAAAGTGACTGAATCGCTGTGTCTTTCGAACCACACCTTGGCTGCAATCACATGGCCATTGGTTGATCTTTCCACTGTGAGCCGAGGCGGCAAGGGGTGACTACCAAAAGTGCAGGACATGATATGCGATGTTGGCAAGGTGATAGAAGGCACACCAGTCAGCTACCATTTTTATCCATTTTTGTTGGGGGGCAGATCTTTGGACTGCTGAAGTAGCTCTAGTTGTTTTTTGAGTTATCTATACCATCAAAACGCTCCACTAACACGGCGTATCACAGCGTCACACGCAGCCTAGCAAGCTCACTCCAACTGCACTGAAATCCCCGGAGTCATTGGATTTTTTTCAGACACGAAGGCTTCAACCAGTTCCTGGAGTTTCCTCAAGGTCGACAGAGGCAGATCCGCCAGCCGTTCAAATCGCAGAAGTTGCAACGCCACCATCCCCGTGGCGTTCACCTTCTCCAGCCGTTCCAGCGCTGCCAGCAGCACCGGAACGGCTGGTGGACCCGCAAGGATCGCAGCCAAGGCCAGATCTCCGGCGTTCTCCTGGGAGCTGCTGAAGATTCCCGGCCGAAAAATTGGAGCTGTCACCGGCTGAGAGTCCATGATACCAAAGAAAATGCATGAACATGTCAACCAGAATGAGGAGAAAGCAGCATAATGATTGATAAAGATTGATATTCGGCTTTTTGGACCATTTCCATTTCTCAAAATCAAAAGACTAGCATCTGGTGGCCAAACGTAGCACCAGAAACTCCCATGTTTGACGTCTCCACCTGTTCCGCTAAGAAAATGACGAGGTTCTGTTGTAAGCCCCTCCAGCACCAGCGACAGGGAAACGACTTCATCCACGGCAGGGAAGCTGCTGGCGGCTACGGCAGGGAATAGCAACGCAGCCTGCCTCGGGTGTGACGTGGGGACTGGCAATCCACTTGGTTTCTGCAAAAAAACACTATGTCTATCTACGTCCTAAGGACTGAGGCTTCATCCCCAAAAAATCCAAGTAGGTCCGAATGCCAAGTTTCCCCCAAAGAATCCTACTTGCACCACATGCAAGTATCAATTGCAAAAATCACACTAATTTTCATGTGTATCGATGATGGTTTTCCATGGTTTTCACCGTTTCCATTCTCCAGTTTTGCCTTTGTTTCCAGTGTCCACCATTTTTTGACCTGTCGATAAATCAATGCCCCTATTGATCAGTCATTTCCCCAAACCAGTCACCAGCATATCTGGCATATCCCAAATGTGCTCCAAACACCCGACCGGAGCCGCGGTGTGAAAAGACCCCCACAAACCACAAAGCAACCAGTCTCAGAAGGTGCTTGTAGCTGTTGGGATGATGTTTCATCAAATGTGTCAATGTTTTCAATGTTTCATCAGAACTTCCCATAGTTTTTCCTCATGTTTTTCCATGTGTTCATAGATGTTCCCCCCATTTTATCAATGTTTTCATAGATTTCCCATGGTTTTCCCTTATTTTTTTCCATATTTTCATATCTTTCATATAGATTTTCCACCGTTTTCCCACATTTTTTCCCTAGCCACCAGCCGCCCCGGTGTTCCGCCGACGTCACCAGGGCTTCTCCGCTTCGGGCAGGTCCACCTGGCGTAGGTCGAAGCCCACGGCGCTCAAGGCGCACAGCAGCGCCAGGCGCTCGTTGGACGTCGACGTTGGCGTGGAAGCACCTGGCACCGGGGGAAGATTTTCCTGGGATTTTCGTGGGATTTGCTGGAGATTTTTTGATAAATTTTCCATCACCCAAATTTTCTGGAGATGTTTTTTGATAAATTTGGGTGATTTTTGAAGATGTTCCGGATTTTTTGATGCGATGGGAGAGAAATTGTGATGGTTTGGGATGGTCCCAGGATGTCCCAGGTATGGTGAGAACTCCAACGAGTTGCTGGGATGATCCTCCAAAATCTTAGCAAAGTCGGACACCCATATAATACACATCGTTTTAATTTAATCCTGGATAGTCGGACTCCCCTTTTTTGGGGTTGTGTTTTTGGCTTTCCGGGATATTATTTAATAATCACCCAGCCATTCACCAAGGTCCATCCGTTCCCTGCCTCTCAGCATTCGTTGCACTTGACACCGTCGCTGCTGATCGCCGTGGCTGTCCAAACAGGCCAGACGACATAGGAGGAAGACGTGGCGCTGCCAAAATTTCCTCGTTTTTTTGATGGGTTTTGGCTTGGGTTGGGATTGGAGAAAGGATTCTCCTATCAAAATCAAAGGATTTACATGTATATTACAAATGATGTAATATTCTGGTTATGACTGACATAGCCATGAAAAGATCCACTATTTTTAATAGGTAAATCATCTATAAATGATAAATGGGCATTTTCCATGGCTATATTAAAACCAGAGGGGAATATTGACATACTGTAATATGATGTATGTCTAAAGTCAATTGCAGACTATTTTCCATCACAGATAAGCAGGAAATTGAATGAATTCTCCTGACCCCTCCGTATAATCAACCCTTCCAAAACAGGCCCCAGGCCCCGGGCACTCATTCCAACCTTTCGCCAAGGCGCTCCCAAGACGAATACTTCCTGCGTACAGTATACCAAGTGGTGTGCGAGAGGTGTAACACATTCGAAATGAATGGGGTTCTTTCGCACGTCGGCTGACTAAACCAAACTCAGAAAAACCCAAAAAAAAACAAAAAAAAACGGTTGAATTTGACCCCTTTTGTTTGAAGGAATCCGTGGAGGAGTGATGTTTTGAAGAAAACCACCACAAAACACTGTAAATACTACCATTAAATACCCGTGTTTTCTCCATCACCGTCACACTAGCTGCTATTGATACATTGATACTGTACATCACAGATGCAAAATCCACCCATTCTTGTGGCTGTACAGAAGGCTTTCTACATTATGTGGTTTGCAAATGCAAGTCCCGCTTCTAGTTCTTTGCAAGCCTCACAGAGAAGTTAAAATATATCACAAAATTCTGTTGATACTAGGAGTTTATGACAGCTTTTATTCAAGTGACACATGTTTTTTTGCTCTAAAATTCCAGCGTTTCAGTCCAGGTTTCATCACAAATTCACCGTGAATGCCAGCGTTCTTGAAGGATTTTTGGAACCACAATCACTTCATGAGGTCCCGTTCTATTTGGCTTTACAAAAAGCAACCATGTCTAAACTAAAGAACAGGTTCTGGTTGATTCAATGTGAATTTCAGGAATTTTAAAATGGAGGTACTGTAGCATAGAAGTGCATATTTTCTAGGGATATTCCCTGAACTTTAGGCCTGAAAAAATAGGCCTTATGGCAGGAATCGGTACCTCCAATGTTTATCGCTTGCGGCCATTGATGCCACCCTGAAGGGTTCCCTGGTTCCTCCAGGCATCCAGGTCAAGCACAAAGGCTGCGTAGCTGATCCGCTCCAAGAACCAGTCGCCTAGAAGGGCCGGGAAATCTCCGAAAAAATGGGCCAGTTTACCTCTCAGAAATGATGATCTTGGAAAATCTCCCATTGGATCTTGGAAAATTCTCCAAGGTTCCGCAGAGTTTCAATGGAAAATGATGGAAAATGAACATATTAACGTTGATTGTAATAGACTAATATAAGCAACAACATGTTTCCATCTAGTGTTCTCATCTAAGTTATTGCTATGTTTCGTGGGGGTTGTCACCATTGGTGTTCACCATTGGGCGCCTCCCAATTTACCATTGGATGTGTGGATGATGGGTTGGCCAATCTATCATGATTGTAGCGTTATCATTTGAATCCCATAAGCCTTCTGAATATCACCAAAAAGGAGTCCCAACATAAATAGATCCCATAATTAGTAAACGAGAAATTCCAGGAGTATCCGTTGCAAAGAAATCATTGATCATGAATTGTTATCATCATTTTCGGAGGTGTCCGAATCAACTCAGATTCAACTTTTGTTTTATGGATGTCTATAGCCAATATTCACTTTAAATTTAAGCTGAATCTGAATCACTCGCAGATTTTACCACTAATTACAATCATTATCACCATTATAATCATTATCATTATCATGTACCAATAGTTATAATGTTATAACATAATCATCTTTATATAAATATTGTGATGTAATCAACAATGATCATAATTGTTGTGATAATGTTATAAGTTATAATGATCATCACGATTGTCATGTTTCATGATTAATTACAGTATCATTGTTGCCATTATTTTCATTCGTATTGTTACCTACAATCACAATTCATTAGCGAGATAATAATAGTATTGAACATAATGATAATAGTGATTCTTGGCATATAACCGTACAAGTCCTGTGACATATAATCATTACTAGATTATACCAGTACTATCATGAACCCGAATTTGGCTACTAATAATTATAGATAACAATAGCTTTGGTAACTTGCCAAATTGACCATTTCTTTCTTGGATTAGTTCTATCATATCTATTTTGGTAATCATTACTATCATAAGAATGATAGTATTTACCATAATATGATAGCAATGTTGATGATATGTTGATCATATGGTATTTACCATCATAGATATGATATGGTCATTATCATTATATATTATCATAATATTATTATTACTATTAAATTATTATATATTATCATAAGATTATTATTGCTATTATATATTTACCATCATATATTATTACCATTATATATATATATATATATATTTACCATCATAGATATGATCATTATAATATATATATATATATATATTTACCATCATAAGACATTATCATTATTATTACCATCTCATTTCATCTGTTTGTTAATTGGTCCTCTATTTCCCCGCCAAGCCACGCCACGCTGCCTCCGTTCCCAACGTCCCCAGGTGCCGCAACAGGAGCTGCGCCAGCGACAGGGCGGACGGCGACGCCGTCTCTGACAAACCTGGCGTTTTTTGGGGGGCACGAGGACGTCCTCCAAAAATGGAGGACGTCCAAACCTGGAGAAATTGATGGACTTTGCTAGGAAAAGATATGAACGATTTAACCATGATTTTTCACCATGAATGAAACAACGGAGGAACTCACTGAGTCGATCATATGAAATTAACTCATGGATAATGGGGATATGATATGACTCATATGATGTTATGGAGATACAGAATGGGATTATTTGTTCCATAAAACGGTTCTAAATATACAGTATACCGTTGGATGGAGGGAGGGGAAGATGGTTGGTGCCTGGCATGGTTTGACATGGCTTCTTGGGGATGTGAGGCTTGATTTGAGGCTTGAAGTACACAACGAGAGGCTCAAGATGGCTTGCTCCGGCTGAAGGAAACATAACTGGTTGGTGGTATACCTACCCCTCTGAAAAATATGACGAATCGTCACTTGGGATGATGACATTCCCAATAGATGGAAAGTCATCAAATTCCATGGTTCCAGTCACCACCAACCAGTGATTATTAACCATTATTAACCATCATTAACCATCATTATCCCCAGAAGCAAGTATCATTAAGTTTTATAAGACGTTTTAGGCATGATTCTGAGGCATATGAGCAGCAATCTGTGAAGAGACAACCACGCCTGGCAACAGTTCTGCCGCCCTGGCTGAGATGAAGAGGATGCTGCTGTCCTGACGTGTTTTTTCTGTGCTAAAAAACATGGATGAATTATGGATTAACTATTCATATCTATTGATTAACCTTAAAATTAATCCATAAAGTTGCTAGTGAGTTTCTTTTCCCAAGGGTTCAAGGGAAAATTTGCAGGAAACTTATGTATTTGGGGGGTTTAACACATCATGGGGTGCAGATTTATCCTTGGGCCGATCCATTCAGCGATGTACCACAAAATTCAATGAACATGGTCTCGTAACTGTAGAAATGTTGGTGTTGATGTACCGCCAAAATGGAAGGTTTATAAGTTTCACAACCGCTTAGAATCGCCAGTCCATGATACGCTTTTTGTCCAATAATCCCAGACGTTCACTTAATCAATCAAAAAGCACCAGAATATCACAGAAACATCAGCAATGTCAAAGGAATAACTGTTTATTTCAATGGATTGGTTTAAGGGAAAATTTACAGGAAAACCCCATATTTAATGGGAAAATCTATGGTTTCCTGTAGATTTTCCCTTAAACCAATCCATTGATTATTGGAACAATCATCAAGGATCATCAAGGATCATCTTCCAGGACAAAATGTCTCCTCAGCCTCTGCAAAGCATTCCAACCTGGCGAGGCTTAATGGTGCTGATGAAATCTGCTGGAGATCCGATCGAAAAAAACAAGCCATGGAAACCGAACACCAAGGACACCAAGGATAGACATGTACCTATGAAGATCATGCCTCGTGGATCTCTATGTTTTGATGATTTGAGGGCTCATGTCAAGTTCAGCAGGTGTAAACACAGTGACTCTGTTGATTTTCATAAGCATTTCCTGGTGACATGCTACCAGCATATACCAGCCATAAGGTCAGGTTCCTTTTGGACTCCTCAGCAAAATAAAATTCATCTGGTCAATGGATTGGCTTAATAGAAAATGGCAGGTAACTCCCATATTTCATTGAAAAAACCATGGTAGTTTCCGGTGAAGATTGTCCCTTAAACCAATCCTTTCATCTAGAAAACAATCATATTAGATCTATCTGTCGTTTTTTTTTCCAGAAATCAAACGTGGCTTTTCTAGAAATCCACCATTGAAGTTACTCCATGGCTAGGCTGGGACAAACTCCACGTCGATGCGAATCTGCCACCTGTCCATTGCTACCAGCACACGGCTGGCCATCCGTAGAGTCCATGACTCCTGGCGATCCGCCCGGTCGCTGAATTTTGCTTGGTGAAATGGTGGTTTTATGTTTAAAGATCCAACTACAGTATATGGTCCAACTATATGAGTCTACATGTTTATCATTGTTTTTTTGGTGAATTGAAAGAACTTTCATGGTTTTGAAAGATCACATCTATGGAGAAAGCGAACAAGAACTTAAATGAATGTTACCGTAATCAAACGGAGACAAACAGAAAGATCTGGCAATGATCTGTTTGAAACTTGTTTTTTGCGTTGACTTCGGCGAGGTTCCATTTTAAAATATCCCTTGAAAATCAACTGATTCTCCGGCTTCGGAAAGCACATGGACGACAAAGCACCACCTCCTCCAAGGCTTGATGCAGTTGCCACAAGATTGGCTTCCACAGTGACACCTCTGCTCGGAAAACTTAGGCAATCGATATATGGGGGTTCCCAATCACTTTTTTAGCCAACGGCTAGCCCACACCCATATATGAAATGCCGGTGTTGATCTGTTCCACTGAATACCCATCCCATCCAAACTTTTTGCTGACGTCCCTAAATTCTTCCATTTCTTCGCATATCTTTTTGTTCTATCCTCGTCTTTCGGTTGCTTCAAAGCGTTCTTGGGAAAGCTAGAGCGGACGAACCCCCGTAGCATGATATGTTCAACTCTTACACCTCCTGAGACGCCCAATATGTTTTGGTAAGATCAGCTTAAATCAATAAATAGTTGTAGAATCCTTAAGGCCCACAGTTTTCCCATGTTTGTTCCAAATAATCTCGTAGTAAAACATAGTAAAACATCCAGTCCCCCAAATGCGTGTTGCTCAATTTTCCCCTTTTACTTCAAATATGATATATCACTCCCAGTAAATCAACGTTCTTTGTTGGATCAATCACCATTTTAATATCCCATCATGTCATGTCCATTAAATCCCATTGCTGTTGGTCCATCATATTTCCATCTAACCATCATATACCATCATTACCCTCTGGTAAACTAACGTAACTATGGAAAATCACCATGTTTAATGGCTAAATCAACTATAAATGACCATGTTCAGTAGCAAACTCTTAGATAAAACCAGAGGCTAAACAGTGTTTGTTGGTGAAATCCACATAATCCACCAATCTGCACCATGTTGGCGAAAAAAATCTCCCATCTTTCACCACTTTCCCCATGAATTTCCGCCGCGCCTGTCGTATCTCCATAATCTCCATGGTCCGCAGCCACAGCACCAGCTGCCGCAATGGCAGCCCTTCGGCATCGTCGATGTGGGCGGCCACCTGTGGGAATGGAAAATCCCATGGGAAACTCCGTACATGGGAAAATATGGGGAAAATCAACTATAAAATTCTATAAATGGGAATATATGATATTATAGAATATGACAATATGGGAATGTATGATATTAGAAATCTATTAGATAAAATCATGGGAATATCATGGGAAATCTCGTTCTCCAACTCCGGGGATCTATTCAAAGGGGTGTTAATCAGAGTTTCTGGGGAGGTAAATCATTCTAAATTATGCTTTATTACGATAGTTTAAAACTGGTGGAATTGAGCCAAAAAAATACGATTTCTTTATGAAAACATTTTTTTTTCTGTGTTGTGGGGTGTGGGAGGAGGTCATTGAGCAGAAGGTACCCACCCTACCTCCTTCTAAAAGTAGTATCGAAAGAAAAAAACAGCCTGTTTTTTTCATTTGTTTGTTAAATTAAAATATGATCAATATTTTCCATTTTGGGCTACTCAATGCATTTTGTTTCTTGTTCGTGGCCAAGCTGCCTCTGACCCGTGCAAAGCTGAATACTATCCCTTTGAATAGGACCAGGGGGCCTTTGAAAACCATAGGACTAATATGGAAACATACACAAACTACCCTCTGGTAAACTAACGTAACTATGGAAAATCACAATTTTTAATGGGTAAGTCCACTATTTTTATGGCCATTTTCAATGTCGCAAGCTGTAAACCTTTACCAGAGGTTACAGTAAATGGAGGTTTCGATTGGAAAATCCCAATCCGAGCCAGATCGATCGTCGAGCACACCTTGGCGGCCAATGCTTCCATCGTTTCCATTGGCAGTGGATGCTCCGTCACGCCCAAGGCTGCGGTCAGGCGGATGGCCTGGGATTGGCCACTCGGAATGGGTCAGGGAATGGGTCATTCAGGATGGATATCCCATAAACAGCCAGTGATTTCATGTTATTTTAAACATTTTTTATAGCTGGGGCCAAGGTTTTTGACCATCATTCGGATAGAATGATATATATCAATATATATATATATATATATTGATGTATGCTATCATGACATCATGAGGCCACTATTTGGACAGTCATAAGCTGTTTGTTTCCCATAGATTTTCCAGGGGTAAAGAAAGCATTGCAGGGAATCCATAAACCCGGATAGTACAAGCTCTTCGGTTTGAAGAGACAGAACCTGACTTGTCATTTTCTATGTCATAAAGTATCCTGAGTTTTGTCCGGGTTTGCAAGTGCTGTTCATCAATTATCGCTGAACTATATCCTCAATCTCATCTTAAAATGTTTATCCAATCTAGATAAATCATATTTATATATATATGTGTGTTTTTAATCATAATGTCCAAGTTATATCCAGCTGTTAGAATGATTGGTAAGTATATATATAATCAGTCCAGCTGCCAATATCTAATCATTGCTATATATTGTGATGTAGAATATCACCATTAGTAAGATATATCAAAATAAATGATCATAAGTTTGCCATATCATCTAATTTCTAGTGTTTGGAGATAAAATTGAGACATTGATATTATAGTTATATTATATATATATATTATGTATATACGTTATCATTGTGACAACATAGTCTATCATGTATTCATTATTGAAAATCATTATTCGCTAATTATATATTCATTATACTCTATCACTATCCAGTTATTCTATCATTATGACAATATATTCCAGTCGTTTATCTATAATGATCATTCATAGATATACTCTGTCATTATGTGTATATATATATACATACATATGTATATATACTCTATCAATATGACAACATGTGTATATATATAATATAATATAATATAATATAAGATAATATAATATAATATAATATAATATAATAAAATATAACATAACATAATATAATATAATATAATATAATATAATAATATATATATATATATTATTCTCTATAGTTATTCATTAGCTATGCTCAAGAGCTATGCTATGATGGCAGCCAAAAAGTGGTACGGTACGATGGGCGTATATGTATGGTACGGGTGGGCGGTGGCGTCGTATACGGTACGTACGGTATGTACGGTGCGCCATGTACGATACGTGCATTACATAGATGATTTTGAGTACGATATAAGATGATGTCCTATACATACATATGTAAGATTGTACGATATTACTCTTCTACATTGATTATTGCTCATCATTGCTAATGATTGGTATGTATGATGGATAATTATTGTTGGATAATAATGACAATTTGGTATTTGCTTTGATGAAAATAGATCTCCCTACCATCATTGGCATCACATCCCTAAGTCGGTTGCTTCGCCAATTTCCTTTTTTTCCATCCATCATCGCACGTTGTTGTGCTGAGTCAAACTGATGATTGAGTCCAACAGATTGTTGCACATCGTGTGCTGAATCAAGCTGGTTATAGCCTTGGGCAACCAGCCAAACATTTGGAATCTCGAAAACTAAATTCAGGACGGGTCAACCAAATGACTTGTGACCGGCAGCAAACAAAAAAATGATATGAAACTTGAAATTTTGGATACTCAACCAAACAGCAAAACAGCAAAACAAACATTAGTACAGTATCAGTATGTTATAGTCATAGTCATCACCTTCAACATCATCAACAAACAACATATAACAAACACTAAGCCAACTAGGTTGGTTTGATTTGCTTTGAGTTGTCATGGTGAATCATGATTCATGATTGGTGCTAGTTAGTTTTTTGTTTGAAGTTTGAATCGTGTTCACTGCCAGAAGATTGTATACGCATGCACATCTGTCAGATGTTCACATATTTTTTTCATGTGAAGCTTTCACAGATCGCCATAAGTTCACATATTCATGTGAAGCTTTCAAGATTGCCAATTAGACTCTCAATCTCTTCCTCCTGTTCGGACTCGCTATGGGTGCGATAGTCGAGCTCAAATAGCATAGCCAAGAACACCGCAAGACACGATGTCGCAGCAAATCTTAGTAGCGGCAGTGGGTATGAGGATCGCAAATCTTAGTCAGATCTGTCTGAATATAACATGAACATGACTCAACATGGCATACATACACTTACATCAGCCTAAAATAACTTGATCATATCTAACTTGATCATATAGTCGAATCATATACATATCCCATCTAATATAAAATCACCAATCATGAATCACAGATCATCCAGTCATCATATCACCTCATCACCCCATCACCCCATCACTACAGCACGTTCATCACATCAACTCTCATCGGCTCTCACCAGTTCACATCAACTTTCATCAACTCTGACTCTCATCAACTATCAGAATGTTCGACCAGAATTGATTCAATAGGCACAACTTGCATAATTTAAATCGAGATACCCATTTCCTGCCAAATCCACCATCTGCGATTCGGTGAGCTTCTCTGTCAGCTCACGCCCAAGCTGCAAACCTTGCAAGTGCATCAACTCCCGTCCTAGGCATGTGAAGCAGGTGACATGTAAAGTCAAGTGAGAGGTAAGACTAAAATCCCTAAAAATAAATAACACAATAAAAAATAAACTTGACAATCATGACTCATGACTCATTTGAATCAGAATCATTAACAACTTCACGTACATCACAAGACATTGTCAAATTGTCATGGTAAGATCAATCAGAGACAAGATTCCAAGGAGAATCCTGCGGCGAACCAAATCCATGAGTTTTGTCGATGGTAAGATCGTAGGGACTTCCTGATACAGCAAGAGCGACATCAATGACTGAAAGTAAGTTGAATGCCTGTGAAGTGTAAAGTGTGAGAGTGTAGTCGAAGTCTGAGTCTAGTCTAAACTTCTAAACTAAACTCTAACTCTAAACTTCCAAACTAAAACTTTAAAAACCAAGACACTGTTGCACCTGAAGTCGGTGTACGTGTCGCAGTCTGATACAGGTCAGCATATCGTGTAGGCACCTTTCCCGTTGCAATCTGCGTTGATCGCTCGTTGAGCACAAAGAGCATGTTCTGCGGATGACTGATGACTAGTGTACGATTGGGTCATGGTGATTCAATAGTGTATAAAATGTTTTGGTCTTGGTTAAGTTTTGTTTTGATTCTGGTTTGAGGTTTGAGTTTTGAGTCTTGAGTTTTGACTTGACTTGATATTGATTTTGATGTTATGTTTTTGTTAGTTTATTTATGTTAATATTTTTTTACCTAACTTAACTAACCACAATCGTGTTATGTTTTTGAAGAAAAACTCTCACCGATATCGATCTATTTGCTTTGAAGTTTGAAGAAATACTTTCATCATTTACCCCCAATATCGCTCCTCACGTTCACGTTGGCTCAATGTCTTGAACCACATGTTGGATGCAAGCTCATCCGGAACTGCCAAAGGCCACGAAAGACCGCCTGGGCGTATTGATTGAAAATTGAAAATGATGTTACCACCAGTTGATACATCCATTTAGGTATCAGGAACACAACAGAGCAAAAATCAAAACAGAATGGTTTGTTCATTTTAGTCTCTTTAGTTAGTGTTTTTTTGAATAGTCCCCTTACCATCCCTTATCTATGATTAGATTAGATTAGATTCGATTCGATTGTGGTTATGAAATGAATCATGAAGTTGTGAATCATGAAGAATCATGAATTTTGACATAATATGAAATTATCATGATTCATGATTCATGATTTTGATTCTGATGACCTAGATTAAATAAAATAAACTACCAACCAAGGCACGTGATTCAGCCAGCTGTTGGTGAGTGAGTTGCCACTTACCAGTGTCACTATCCTTCTCCTTCTCCTTGGAAGCTTTTGCCTTAGGCTCCTCCGTTTTGGACTTACCAACCCGGTCCCTCACAAAATGTTCTGGATGGTTTTCATCACCAAGACACAGCTTTGCGTCAGCCTTTGCCCGAACTTGACGCCGACGATTGAGCTCAGCCACGACTGCTGGATCATCGTCGTCGAGCATGAAGTGTTCCTGATTGTTGTGCTGCTAAACACACCAGTAAGAGGCACACACTTGTGACCCATTACAAATCACATACCGTCACATACTATTAGGTTACTAGATATATAGTTCATAGTTTACTGTTAATTGGGCCGGCTATTGAATCATTGTAGTTACAAACACACATAACTACACACAAACGAGATAAATAGACGGGATGAGATAATAATGGTCGGAGAAACATAGATGTTATGCTAGTGTTATGAGTCATGAGATGGGTTCTGTTATTCTTATGAGTTACGAGTCATGAGTCATGAATCATGAATTGTGAATTATGAATGAATTATGAATTGTAACTCGAGTTATGAGTTGTGAGTAATGAGTTTGGCTCTTTGGTGGTGAAGCATGTTATTGGAGAACAAAACTAAGAAACAATTCAAAACATGCTCAAGTAAGGACGAAAAATCAGGTGTTTGAGGTCTCAGTTTGATGAGGTTCAAGATCTTCTCCATTCTGGTGAATGACGCTGTTGGTTGTTTTTCGGAATGGAACCCTGCTATGTAAATCCTTACACGTCTTTGTGGAAGCCCGTACTCCAACGCAGACACTTTGAAGATCCTAACTCTGTAGTGGCACGACTCCAACATCTCAACAATGTGAGATAGATTAGAGTCTGGGTCGTCCCCATCCCCCAGGTCCACATTCTCTAAGAGGAAGAAGTCTGGAACGAACTCTGTCAATGCAGCAATGCACGCTTTGAATGTTGCGACGCTAGATGCGTCCTGATCAACACAGGGATTATCAATGGATGCTGCTAAGTAAAAATAATTCAGTTAGTTTAGTAGTTGTTTGTTTTGTACAATCCCCAGGCCAAGAAATTTAATCATTGAATGTACATATGATCATCAATGAATGTTACTATTTATTATGTATAACTGTTTAACTGTAAACTGTAAATTAATGTATAGTATTTTTTTATGCATGATTGGTTTCACCATTGACAATTTGTTGGAAGTTTCGCGATAAACAAAAAAAAGAAACAAATTCTGTCAACATGCAGCAATGCAATATGTAGCAACATTTGATGATTTCTTTTCTAGGTTTTACCCACCATTGACAGTGTGCTGGAATAATTATGTGAATGATGAAGAGTAACTTAGTTGTTAGAAATATATGTACTAAAACAAAATCCATACAAACAACTACATACATTACATTACATTACATTACCCTACACTACATTACATTACATTACAATACAATGCAATTATATTTTTTTATTACAGTTACAAAACAATACAATTATATTTTATTAACAAACGATACAATACAATACAAGACAGTACGGTACAGTACAGTACAATACAATACAAATACAATACGATACATTACATACAATACATACAATACAATTACAATACAATTCCAATACATACATACATACCTACCTACCTACTTACCTACCTACCTACATACATACAGACACACACACATACATACCTACCTACTTACCTACCTACATACATACAGACACACACATACATACATACATACATACAGACAGACAGACAGACAGACAGACATACAGACAGACAGACACACACACACACATACACATACATACATACATACATACATACATACATACATACATACATACATACATACATACATACATACATACATACATACATAATTACATACATAATTACTATTACATAATTACTATTACATACATACTTACATCATATTACATCATATTACATTACATTTACATTACATTTATTTACAAGTACAATTACCATTACCATTACCATTACATTACATACATACATACATACTGTCCTCACCTCATCGTCATTCAGCATGGCATGCTGAAGCGCAGCAAAGTTTGGATGCATTTTCGAGAAACTTTTGCACGAAAACCCACCATTGAATCCGCTGATGCTGTGAGGTAGGTCCTGGATAGGTTACAAATACAGATTTTAAAAAACATAAAAATAAATTAGATTCGATTAAGTTCGATTAGAATTAGAATCAGAAAATGAAAACCTAAATCTTGAAACTCAAAACTTTCAGCTGTGGGGGAACCACCTACTATGTTGGACAATTCGTTTGTTAGTATTACTATCATCATTACTTGTGAAATTTCCTATCCTTGGCCCTTGGCATACAAACAGAAACAAAACCGACATAGTAACAACATCCAAGAATCACAGCAATCGTTGTGATTGATGCAATGGCGGTCTTCACCAAAGACCTTACAGGCATCGACAAAGATGCACGGCTCCTCACCAACTAGGTCTTGAAGATGTCGCTGTTTGAAGGGAATCCACTCACATAGGAACATGTGCTCCACCTGTGTTGCGACTTCTGATCGGGAAACCCATAATTATAGTAGTAATGATGTACTTAAAAATTAAAAGTTTGATTCATGTTAAACAAAGATGATTTATGATTTATGAGAATATATAAGAAATTTTAATAATGTTACTTGTGTCAACTAATTAAATTTAATAATTAATTAATTAATAATTAATAAATAATTAATTAAAATTTAAAACTTTAATTGTTAAATTAAAATATAATAAAATTAAAATAGAATATAACTGTGGCTGTAACTGAACCAGTTAACAAAGTTAACAGTTAAACATAACACATGAAAACAACGTAAAGGCTTAACAGTTTGTTTGACAACACACTGCCTGAAGTGTCTGTGTCACTTCCTCTGGAAAGATTACATCGATTGCGCACATAGCCGCCTCAACGATCTTTACAAAGGAACCTGCACCGCTGAAGAAATCGCCCAACTTCAAGGATGGCAAAGCACGGATCTTGGCCTCCAAGTTATAGATGCCGCTCTTGACAATCTTCTGCAACATCAACTGCAGGGAAATAAATATTGCAGCCGCATTGCATAAATTCAAAATTCGTTAAGCTATGAAACATAAGTTAAGTTAAATGAAGTTAGTTAATGCAATTTTGATTTGATTTGAATTTGATTTGACGATTGATGATGACGATACTACCATGACCATAACATACTTTGACGGACCAAACTAGATTCAAGATTCTTCTAGATTCTAGATTTTAGATTCTAGAATCCTTAGAGTCTCTAGAGTCTAGAATTCCACCTCCATTCTCCCTCTGGAAAAAAAATGAATTCCTCCTAGGAAAAAAAAACACCCTGGCTGCACTGTTCAGCAAGTCTTTGATGTCGGGGTGATTACAAGAAGGAGCAAGAGGATATTGATGTCCCGTCGGCTTTGTAGATTCATCATCAGAGTAATCATGTTGTAGACCTGACTCATGGTTGATGAGCAGCCAGTGATGAAACAAATTCAAGTCCTGAACCGCCATGGAGGCACCAAACTTCCAATTGATGTCGTGCTGGGTGGTGGAGAAATTCATAAAGTCCTTGAATCTAGGATGTTGCTGTGCATGCTTCACCAAGTACTTGAGCCGATCTGTGTCAATGGTTTCGCCTGGCATCAGGTAGATGGTACCTTCGGTTCTCCCTTCAAATGTGTATGGGATAGGAAGCTCATTGTGTTCGATGAGAAATTGATTGAAACCACGCAAGTCTTCCATAGGATCAGACTTGGATTCATCTCCAAATACCCATGATTCATCTGCATCTGCATCTCCAATGTCGTTTGCCTCAGAAAAGTACTTGATGAACTGGGGCAGCAGGTTGTGATTCTTGGCTTGGCTGAGAGCGGAGTCAAGGTCAAAGATGTCTTTTGCATTCCCCTTGGCCTTGGTATTGTCATGTACGGATTCTTTCGATTCTGACGTGTGAGTCTTGTCAATCTGCATGGAATCACCAGCTGCGGCAGCATTAGCAACGGCCAACACAATGGTGCTTGTCTTTACCTCTTCAGCCACAGTCTCATCAGGAATCTTGACATTGGTAACATCTGTGGCAGTCTCATCAGGCTCAGGTGTCTTGAGCTTCTCCATATTGACATCGGTGGCAACATCTGGTTTAGGTTCAGGTAGATCAACTTCAGTAGCAGCTGATGACGCACCCACTGGCAATGTCTCTGCCGGCACTGTCTCAGCCAACATTGTCTCAGTCTCAGCTGGCAATGTCTCACCCAACATTGTCTCAGCTGGCAATGTCTCTGCCGGCACTGTTTCCTTGGATACTTCTTCTTCTGCAACTTCTGGGGCTACTGGTGCTGACTGTGGTGATGTCATTGATGACGATGCAGTGGATGATGGCTTGAAGATGTTCACCATTTTCTGCTTGATGGGCTTATCATAGTCCTTTGGACAAATCAACCGACTCTTCTTGACCGGCTGAGTGTCGACCGGATACATTGTATCCATCAAATCCTCTAGCTGAGTCTCGAGTGTATCAGGCTGTGTAGACGACGGGGTTGCTGTAGTCACTGTAGTCGATCGCTTCGATTCCTTCTTCTTCTGGTCTTCTGTCTTTTCCTTTTTCACATCTTTAGCCTCAGGGGAAATTGAATGTTAAACAGGAAAAGTACAACCACATCAAAATGACATCATCTTATATTATTAGGATTGATTAGGTTAAGATTCAATGATAGATTTTATGATAGAGAAATAATGTAGTGATTCGTGATTTGTGTAGTGTTAATATACTACTTAGTACTTAAAGATCATTGAACACATAGTCTAAGTGAGTCTAGAGTCCACACAAAATAGATACATAAATGACAATAAATTAAATTAAAATTAAAATATAACTTATTATAACTTAAAAACTTAAAACACACATTATTTTATAAATCAATCCGAGAAGCCTTAGTAGCCTTTTGTTGGGCTTGGTGATTCTTTTTGGGCGACATTGGCGAATTGAATCGGATACAGTCCAACAGCAAGCAGAACACACAAAAATCCACCTATAAGCTGATGGAACATTGGATAATAAAAAATACATGAATATGCCAGCCCGGCATCAGCACTGCACTCCTAAGTGTTGTGTAAGCAAAAAAAAGGACAAGCAGGCGGCAAATGATTCTGAAGACATCAGATCCAATGTCAAATGCATAAACGAAAACAAAACTAACACAACACATAGCAATGAATCAATTTTTCTGATGTAGTCTAAGTAGTCTTAATTGCTCAAATCGAATCTTGCAGTGTAACTGTGTAACTGTGGTGTAACAAGTCACTAGGTTACTTCCCTGAGTAATGCAATATGGCATTTGAAGTCTAAGTTTTTTTTCCTCCCAAGGCTCTCGGACTTGACTGGACTATGGTATGTTACCGTCGTTTGAGTCCTTAGCCTATGTTACGTTCGCTAATGCTAGTATGTTACTAAACCCGGACTGAAGAAGCGATCCCTCAATGCTTCTCATCCGTTGGGTTATTCGACTCGATCACAAACATTGACAGTCAGTCAGATGCTCTGTCCATTGGCTGGTTGGTTCAACATGGCACATTGACTTTGACATATCAAGCACACAACAACGCGAAACATAACAACACAAACATAACAAAACCAACAATACCTACTAATGACTCATGACTCCAAACCAGTTGCATCCGACACTATCGGATCGAGACAAGGCAAGCACTGATCACAGACGATATCGAGAGCAACAACCAACACACCACTCTCACAAACTTTTAATCGTGACATCCCTACGCCTGTGATCCAGTATGTTTCAGTGCCATTGCCTGAAGTGAGCCAGGCACAGTCAGCTGAGAATCGCGAGCCACCTTCATGGCCTTCGCGAGGTTTCCTACGAGGTTTTTTGGGTAACGTTGCATTGGTTTCCAACGCACGTTTAAATCGTGTTGCCGTCAATGTCATTACAATGGCAATCACGGTCAAAACACTTAGCATGTTATGGTGCGCAGCTGTACAATCGGTCACAAGCTTGTTGATGTCCACACAGATCGATTCGGGCTTCAATGGCAGCATTGCCTCCATATCAAATGGCAAAGAAACGAACTATTGGAAAAAATGAACACACCATATAAAACCCCACATACAAAACCAAATCATAAAGCAAATAATTGAATCGTGAATAATGTTACACTTAAACTCTCAACTAATTTATTGGAATTAGGAATGTATAATTATAAATAATATTATAATAGTATAAGTGAGTATTAGTAATATAGTAAGTTGAATGTAATATATGCTACGGCGACAAAACTAACTAACATTAAATTTAAAATTTTAACATCCAAGAAACAAACCCAATCAAAAGGCAAAAACAAAAACACAATCAAAAAAAACTAAAATATTAACATAATAATAAAAATACTAACAAAACAATACAATACTAACAAACGTTGTTGAGAAGCAATCCGTTGTTTGTGTTAAACCTGCCTTGATGCTGTTGAGACGGTCTCCCAATGACTTGCACATAGTGTTCACATTCCCTTTCTCTGAGACTGCCTTGAGCTCGGGGATCTGGTTCAAAGGTGGACAAGGCGAACCGTCATCCGGAAAGGACAAAGATGATGCATCTGGCAAACTCATCGATTTGACTTCGGTGAGCATGTTATTGAGCTCTGTCTCCTGGATTGCAATTTTTAACATCTAAAGTTGATATCAATGAATATCAACTATAATTTTTAGAACTTAAAACATTGCATATTATTAATGATAAATTAACTAATCAAATAGTGCAAGTGCATAATATATATATATATATTAAAATGTTATAAGTTAAAATTACATAAATGACAACAAAAACCAACTTGTAACATGATCATATCAGTTCCCTCAAAAACAACCCATATCACTCAATAACCAAAAGAAAATAACCAGAAAAGATATATAATCAAGATGCCTGAGTGATCCACCACTTTGCCATTTTCTCATTTCCATCGTCGATGATCCTGCTGGTGAAGTTGGCAAGCAATGTGTCCTCAATCTCTTTGTTAAGAGTCGACTTGGCAAGCTCATTAAATGTATTCGCTATCTTCAGGGTGGTGTCCATGTCGTAGTCCACCAACCTCTTGAACATCTTTGAGATCTCGGCCAATGGCAGCTTTGGATTCTGCAGTGCCATGCCTGTTCAAGGTAGGGGCTATGACAAGTAATAATAATAGGTGCTAATTATATAAATAAACATTACATCATAAGACACATACATTACATGAGAAATACAAACACTAACATTAATATTGAAAAACACATGTTTCATATCTCAACCTCAACTAGATTGATTAATGAAAAAAAACATATTGATTTAACATATTATGTATAGTTGAATTTATAATGTATAACTAACTTATCTAAAATCTAGATAGATTATTGATTTATTGATTGATATAGATTCTAGATTCTAGATTCTAAATTCTAAATATTATAGATAGATAGATCGATCGATATATAGATTCACTCCCAGAACCCAAACACATAATCGTGCCTGTCAGACATAGGGACTGTGCAAACTCCGACATCAAGAGGATAGATTCACGAGCATCGTCTTCCTTTGGTAGGCATGACACATGAAGAGACCATTGCTCGCAATTCTCCTTGACCTTTGCTCCCCAAGCATTACGCTCAGCATCTGATTCAAAGATAGTTTTGGCCTCAAGGAGCTCAAGCATGGACTCGCAAACTACCTTGCCATAGTTGTTTGCAATCGAACGGACCTGGCCAATTTTCAGCTCGTCAACCTTCTGAATCATTTCCGTCAGCTTCTGATTGACCGATCCAAACAATTCACTGAGTTCAGCTTCTTTGTCAGATAGTTTGCCAAGAATACCAGCCTCCACTTGAGATAACATGGATGTTGAATTCATTTCCATATGGTAATTAGTTTTAGTGAGTTGTTTTGTGTATGACTTGATGTATGACATGGAAACATGTTTAGTTAAATACATTCTATTACAGCAATCTAGATGAATAGATAGACAAATAGATAGGTAGATATGTAGATAGGTAGCTGATAGATAGTTAGATATGTAGATAGGTGGAAAGTTAGATAGGCGAATAGATTAGGTTGAAAGTTTGACAGATAGACCAATAGATAGATAGATAGATAGGTAGATAGGTAGATAGGTAGATAGGTAGATAGATAGATAGGTAGATAGCTAGATAGGTAGATAGGTAGATAGGTAGATCGAGAGATACAAAATAACGAGATAGAGAGATGGAAAAAATAGATAACTATATAGTTAGATAGATAGATAGATAGATAGATAGGTAGATAGATAGATAGATAGATACGTAGATAGATAGATAGATAGATAGATAGATAGATAGATAGATAGATAGATAGATAGATAGATAGATAGATAGATAGATAGGTAGATAAGTAGATAGGTAGATAGGTAGATAGAGAGATAGATAGATAGATAGATAGATAGATAGATGGATGGATAGATGGATAGATAGAAAGATAGGTAGATAGATAGATAGATAGGTAGTGTAGATAAATCAATGTATATAATATATAATATATACTTTACAAGTACTACTAAGTTATATGTACATAACACACATATATATATAATTTAAATAGGTTAACAATAACCATATAGATAGATAGATAGATAGATAGATAGATAGATAGATAGATAGATAGATAGATAGATAGATAGATAGAACTGTACATGTAGACAGAAAGGTTGATACACCGATAGATATGATACATAATAGTGATAGTTAGATTTAGACAAGTTAAAGTTGAAGTTGAGAAGAAATGATAATACAATCCTCAAAAAAAACAAAAACACAAACAACTAATCAGTAAACGTGTATCAATATATTCTATATACCGTTACTATACATACACCTTACAAAGGAAATAACTAAAAAAACAAAAACAAACATCCAAGCCTGGATTGCATTCACTGCTGGATTGAACGCTGCCAAATGAGTTTGCATTGATTGAAGGACATTCTGACCCCCATGCATCGAGATGGTACATTTGGAGATATCCGTCAGCAAATCCATGATGGTCTTGATAGGCTTGTAGAACTCCAGGTTGCAAAGATGTTTCGTCATGTGCCAAGAAGACACATCTGGGCCGTTGAAGACACCGTTGTCAAGGGATCGAATCGATTCATCAATCCAAGGACCAACCTGAATGCAAAGTGTGTTTGTAGAGTATTGGATATCAGCCATACAACTTGATAATTAAATATCTATTAACTTACAATATGGCTTGGATTGAAGTATTTATTTCCAAAGGAAAATAATGTAATCTCAGATTCATACAAATCAAATATCAAACAAATACATGTATTGTTATGTTTTTGTTTTGATTGATTGAATGTTCCCAATCTAATTGCAAGAAACAACATATGGAAACAATTGAAAAAAATCGAACAAGCAGCTTCAAAGATCCATCCAGCTGCAGTGACCTTGCAGGTGGCATGGGTGATTGCGGTATGCTTTGCTGTCAATACATCCTTGGAAACCTTCTTCTCCTTGAAACCAGCCCATGCTGCATATACAGCCACAAGCTTGGTTATCCTGACAATGTTGGGTTACTAGGGGAAATAACGAATTACTTAAGCTTCATCTTACTTAGATTGTTCATTTTTATTGTTAATTAATCATGTTGTAAATCTACAGCAAAATATTTTGTAAAAATAAATAATAACAAAACTGAAAGAACATACATAGTTGGTTTCTTGTGATAAGTCTCATCATCCAACATTTTTTGAACTATAAACATTCAAACACAAATAACTAAACAAACTATCATAAACATATCAACCAAAACAACATAATTGATAACTAAAAAAATTATTCAAAAACAACAAATCAGCAAACACAAACCAAAATCAAACTAGTAAATCAGACAGGCATCATATCTTCCAGATTCTCGGATGAGATGGGCTTGGACAAGATGAAAGAGAGCTCCTCATCCAATGCACCAGTGGTTTCCCTACGGCTTTCAAGAAGGCTTGCTGCATCGTTCATCAGCTTGGTCCCAATCGTCGAAACAGCCAATGATTGGCTAAATGGCAGCGACCTCATTGAACAACACTAACACAACATCAGACAATGTGATATGTTTTGTCGTTCATATCACAACCTGTGAAACAAACCAAACAATAATCAATATAAAGAATAATATACTATCTAGCAACTATTACTATATTTTTTAAGTTGTAAGTTAAGAGTCACATATATTACATGCTACATAAGCCCCAAATAACATATATAATAATGATTCATTATATATTATTTTATTGTATTATATTATATTGTATTATATTGTATTGTATTGTATTATATTGCATTGTATTATATTATTTTGTATTTTAGATATTTTATTATATTATATCAAATTATATTGTAGTATAATATACTATGTCATATTATTTTATATTATATTGTATTATATCATAATATATTCTATGCTAGCCTATTCTATTATATTATAATATATTTCATTATATTACATTATATTACATTATATATACATATACATACTATATATTTTTATATATATATTATATATATAATATATATATATATATTATAATTATATATATATTATATATATTATTATAGTATACAATTACCATATGAGCTAAGTTAACCAAGTTGCTGATCTGTCACCTTTGACAATTGCTCCAGTGTAGCCAACGATGATTGCAGCTCATCCATGTTAGCCGTCTCAGCCTTGAACAGATTGCATACAATAGTTGTGTCCTTGATCATTGCCAGTGGAGAAGTTGATGCTGACTGCAATGCTTGGATGAACACCAATGTACCATCCATCACAGCCTTGTTCTGAACGCCATATGCATTTTCCTGCATAGGTGAAGACATATGATTTGTGACTTGTATATATATATATATATGTGTGTGTGTTGGTTTTTCTTTGTATAATACAATATCAACAATAGATTATAATAGATTCAATAGATCAGTTCAATGAATCAACTAATGAATCAATAATATAATAATAGTACAATAGCAATGTTGTCTCAAACATACATATATGAAACTCAAGATTCAGACAAAACCTTATGTTGTTATAGAATTTCATGAAGATCAAGCCTTCGTCTTGAACTTGGCAGATGCTGTGCGAATCATCTTCTGAAATACCTGGGAACAGAGAAGCATGTAGAAATCCGAAGAGGTCATCTTGTCACCTTTGTCATCAACGATGAATCTGCGATCAATGATAGCCTTGGTGGTTTTTGTCAATGCATCCCACGCTGACAATCGGAAGTTCTCGTTCACCAGACTCTTCAAAGCGCGTCGCATGACTGATCCATTGAACTCGAGATCGTACTGGTTCTTTGCCTTGTCCAAGTAATCGAGCAGATTGGTTTCCGACTCAAGCTGCGTAGATCCATTGAGACCTAAGCAGTTGGTTTCATGGTTGAGTGTTGAAATAAGTTAGATATTTATATTATATCATTAACATTAGTAATATATATATATAAACGATTGCAATGGCAATAACCATAAATCGGTAATGTTTTGTTCTTAGGTGTTTTGCTAATGTTGTTTGTTAATGTTGTTGTTGGAAACCAACTATATACATCAACAATGCCTATAGTATCAATTAATCATTAATCATTAATCCTATAAATATAATGTAAATATAATAACATACATACACATACAAACAACATGTAGTTAATTAAATAATTTAAATAAATATAAACAAAAAACTAATAACTAAATTAATATAAGGTTTATAGTTTATGATTATGTTAATTTGGTTTGAGTGATGTTTTAGCTTAAATTTAAAAAAATAATTTAATAATAATATTAATACTCTATATAAATTATAAACTTAATTGTTCCAAGCCCAAAAAAAACTTGATGAAGTTTTGCCCAAGTAACATTTGACAAGCTGGTGAAATGAAGCCACATTCTCGCTGAAGGCCACAAGCGCCTTGTGCAATGGATCATTCTCACGACCAGATCTCCTTAGGCAACTTCGCCTCTTTGTACGAAGCTCAATATTCATCTGCCGGAGCTGTGTGCTAACATCCTGCAAGTACTGCTTGAAAGCTGAATCTGACAAAGGAGGCTCCAAATACTTCAGACCAGCAAACTTCTTCTCAAAGAAATCCATGGTCACGCGATCTGCCTCAGGCAAATCATCATCAGCATCCATAGAAACCTTCATGTCATCTGGCCCAGCTGCATCCATACCAAGGGAACACTCATCGGCTGTTCGTTTCTTGCCCCCCATATTGTCAGGATTGGTACGCTGATTCTTGGCATCAGGTTTGGATGGATCTTGGCCGTGGTTCTTCCTCTTGAGGGATGCCTTTGCCGTTGCCTTTGCCGTTGCCTTTGGTGCTGAAGCGGTCACCGTTGCCTTTGGCAGTGTAGGAGCTGCCTTTGGCTTTGCCTTTGCCTTCCCAGCTGATGCCTTCGGAGCTGAAGCAGCAAAGGACTTCAGCGTGTCATGGAAGCCAACTGGTGGAAGTTCATCTTCAGAACCTTCTGACTCTGGTTCAGCTGCAGCGGTTCCTGCATATGATCACATGCAACAAAAAACTAAAACATAAATTCAAAAACAATAATAGCAAAACTTTAATAAATTAGAAACTATTTAATTTAATTTAAAATTTAAAATTTATATATCCACAATAGAATACAAAAAAATGAATTCTATTGATTGATAACATAACCAAACACAAATTCCCATATCTTCATTAAGAAAACAAACCATAAACCAAATTAATTTGAACAACATCCGAACAAAAAAAATACAATGCAACTATGGTCCTGGGTCTGTCACTGAAGCAGTAGCAGGAGCGGGCATCGAGCTGTCTGAGCGAATTCCCGATGCTGATGATCCAAATAATGTATTCTCAAGTGAGAGAATCTCCTTGGCAATCTTCTCAGGACGCTTCAACACAGCCTTGCGGGCTGCTGCATGCATGATGCCAACCGTGTCACGATTTGGATCCAAGTTGACCTGGTCATTGAGCTGAGCAGTACGAGACACTGACTTGTAGGTGCGGTTGATTCGCTTATGCCAACCAGACATCCCAGTTCGCACATTCACCTGAATTGGCAAAACATATGGTAAGACATTGTGAAACGAAAATAAAACATATGGTTAATAGCTGTATTTTGAAATGAACTTTATAGTAAGCATTAGTATTAAAATAAGCAATAATAAAATGTTCATAGCTCAGAACACAAAATAAATTTAAATTTACATATATGCAATACATCTAATCTCTACACTCTAAACTCAAAACATAAAGAAACATAGAAAAAAACAAAACATAATTCATATGTAGTATATCATACACATATAACTATATATACATTATATATATAATTTATAAGAAACTAAGAAACAACTAATTTCGTAAATCGTAACTAGTATAATAATATTCAATCACACAAAACTAGAACTAATACAGCACCATATCTGAATGTTAAATCTAAGTGACACCTGGCTTCTTCACTCCGCTTCCGGGCTCCACTTCCTCATACACGATCTCATCTGGACGAGCAGGACCATAACGAGCCTCATAGATATCAAGCTCCACCCAAAACATCTCAGGTGCCTCCAATCCAGACTCACCCGTCGTAGAAGTGGTAACAGTCTCTCTGGTACAAGCATTGGACTCCAAACGGAACCTCATACTTGGGTTCTCCTGCTTCAACTTCACCAATCGACCACGGACTGCCTTAGAATGGAAAAGACATATGTAAATAATTACGCTATAAATTGTCTTGTGTTGTAGTAGGTTATGTTAGGTTATGTTATTTTTTCAATATTTCATCATAATACATAATATTGAATAATTGTAAAACTAATATATAATAAATATTACAACATATTATATCATATCATATAATATCATATTGTGATATATATCATTATTATATAATATAAACAAAACTGTCTTTAACCTTAAAAAGGATTCCTCAGGGTGAATGGGGTACTGATCATGAATGTCAGCACAACGGTGTACCCAAGCTCCTTAAGGCATCAAATCATATAATATATATATAAATACTATATAATATTATTAATCTATTGATATGCTTTGTATTTTGTATTGAAATATATTGTATGTATTGTAGTTTAGTTTAGTTTAATATTGGTTGTATAATCTTGTATTGTAGTATATAATTCTGCCAAGTAACGAGAAACTCATGCAAGACAGATGGATTGTCCTGGATCATCTTCTGGAATTTGCTCTCTTCACCAATCTCGGCTGCAAATCCACCTTGTTCCCACACCTGAGGAGATGTTAGGTTGTGTTTGTTCTGTCTTTCTTTATTTGGGTTTATCATTAAGGTTCATTTGGTTGGGTTTATTTAAGCTTGACAAACATTAAACATCACACAACAACTCAACATAACTTTAACTGAGATACGATGACACATGGCTTACAGATAGAGCCAACTGGAGCATCCTTCTTTCCACGCCCCCATGGAACGTTAGGGGCCCATGCAGATAGTGGTGTACCCTCCAACTGCCAAGGAGATTGCTGTGTACTCCACGACCCGCAATAGCGACATTTGCGACATTTGCCATGCTCTTCACCGAACCCCACCGACGGATTCGATTCGGCCACCGACATTTTTTTGCACAACGTTGGCACGATTCGAACACACACAAGTTTTCTACCGATAAAATACCGGAAAAAACCCAATGGGCCTGATCCCAAAGAAGAAAACAAATCATAGAAATGAAATGCATAAGAATGATTCAAGTTGCAATCATGTTGGAATAATGCATTTTGCAGAAAACATATCTGTTTGCAAATTTGCAAGCACACCATATATTATATATTATTATATTATCATTAATATTATTGTTATTATAAATTATAAGTGTGATTTATTTAATATATATATAATAGTATAAATATTATATTAATTTTTAATATAAGATCAATAAAAGTTAAGTTAAGAATAGAAAGTATAAAATGTATATATATATATATTATATTATATATATACATATTTTAAAATTATATAAGTATATATATTGTTATAGCTATTAAGAATTAAGACATTAAGACTAAGACGTACGACATGTTTATTTAATTTAATTTATTTGATTGTACAGTTACAAAACTCATAATGTATCTAAAGTCTAGTACTATTACTATACTATACATTGCACTTACAGTCATATACACATGTGTACATTGTACCTATATGTGCACATTTATGTACACTATACATCTGTCATATGTGTGTACAATGTATACCACTATGCACACATTGTGCACCACTGTGTACACACACTGTACACACCCTGTGTGCACACACTGTACACCCTTGTGCGCACACACTGTACACCCCTGTGCGCACACAGTGTACACCCTATGCGCACACACTGTACACCCCTGCGCGCACACACTGTACACCCCTGCGCGCACACACTGTACACCCTGTACGCACCCCTGTGTGTACACACTGTACGTACACATTGAGTTGCTAACAAAACTAGGTTTTGTTAGCAATTTTTGCTAACAAAATCTGGTTTTGTTAGCAATTCAGGATGTACATACACTATGTACATACAGGGTGCGCACAGGGGTGTACAGTGTGTGCGCGCAGGGGTGTACAGTGTGTGCGCACAGTGGTGTACAGTGTGTGCGCATAGGGTGTACAGTGTGTATGCACAGGGGTGTACAGTGTGTGTGCACAAGGGTATACAGTGTGTGCACACAGGGGTGTACAGATGTATACATACAGTGTGTACACTGTGTACAATGTGTACATGTGTGTGTGTACATGTGTATGTACATGTGTGTACATGAGTGTGTGAATGTGATCACATACTATTTGTATATGTTTCCTACATTGTGTATACATTATATATGCATTATGTTCATTAAATATATAGTATATATGATAGATATAATGATATATACATAATATTATATTAAATATACAATATAATATTATATATTTCATTATATTATATATATTATATGATACATATTATATATATATATATATTATTATATATATATTCAATTATATATTATATATATTTTTTATATATTATTTATATTATATATATTATTTTTATAAAAATATATATATATTTTATATAATAAATAATATATAAATATATATATATGATATATTATATTGTTTATTTTGTATATTTTATTTACATGATTTATATTTACATATATTAAATATTATATATATCATATATTTTATTTGTATTATATAGTTTATATATATATATTACATAATATATATATATATATTATATTTCATTTGTATTGTTTACAATATATTATATTATATTATATTATAATATATTTTATTATATTATATTATATTATATATTATTTATATTGAATATAATATATATCTATATATATATATATTATTTTTATTGTTTATGCATATTATATATAATATATATATATACTAATATTGTAAATATAATATATCAAATTTATCATAAAATATTTATAATAGTTTATATATAATTTATATCATTTATATATATATATATAGATATATATCAAAAAATAAAATATTGATATATATATATATATATATATCGTGTATAATATCAATATTATTTATCATATATATATATCATATATATAATATATATATATTATATATTCATTTTTTAATATCCAAAACGAATTTAACAACTAGGACTAAACTGCAACCCAAACATAACTAAAATGAATGTATCTAGTTGCCTGCTTGCTTTCAACTTTCATGCTTTCCTTGGTTCGATCTTGCAATTCTACAAATTTGGTGAACCTCTCACCCTTTTGGCGATGGGTCATATGCATTCTACTGGTGTTGTACCAGCTATACTGTGTATCGCATCACCATTTGATCAAACCTGAACTTGTCAGACTGGTTGTCACAAGGAACAAAACAAAACAATCTAACTAAAGTTTAACTAAAGAAAACCTTCATAGTGTTAATCATGATTCATAAAATATTATTATTAGGATTAGGACTTAACACTGAAACATAAAACAAATATTAAAAAAGAAACTTTAACTGTAACTCACAAATAATTAAACAAACAAACAAACAATGGTTCCTTTACCTTTGACGATTCAAGAAACATAGCTTTGTGTCTAGGGCCACCGGTCTCCTTGTCACCAATTGTTGTTCCCATAGATAACCATCGCAATGCCCCTGCCTCAGAGATACAATAAAATATAAATATAATATATATAGATTGATTAAATAAAATACATAAACACAACATTTGAAACCATACTTTAAAAAAAATACAATTATAACTACATGTAATAAAAAAAACATAAAACAATATGTTTGACTAGTAACAAAAAAACCATCAGGCAATTTCTTGTACAGCTTCAAGACCTTGCAGTTCTTGTGAATTTTGCATTGAAAGCTCATGGTATGTTGACCAGGCATATCCTCCTTGAAGGCCGTGATTCTGCCTACAAGCAAACACACATGTCCCAAAATAACATAATTGTGTTGCTACACAAAGGTAAACTTTGTTCCGAAAAGTTTAACTTAACTTAACTCAATATTTATTGTGTTAGCATACCAAGCCTATTTCGGATTTGATGCCCTTCTTGAAGACATAGCCACGATCATTGCATGTCACTTCCACTGAATCATCCATCCCGAGTATCTCCAGTCGTGTAGGTTCACTTTCGGTCGATGGTGTTGGTCTTGAAGATGATGACGATGATGTCCCTTCCATGCGTTGTACAACCTCTCGGCCATGTTCCTTAGTCGTGGGTTCAGCTGAAACTCATATTGAAGCTAATTATAGATCAAATCCAAAAACCATCAACAAATAACAAATAAACAACTAGTTACTAGTTACTAGATATTAATCATATTTAGCAGCGACCCACTCAAATCAAAACTCAATATCAGATAAATTCGTTGTGTCAGGCAGTGACCAAACATATATAATATAATATAAACTAAGTTGATTAAGAAACGAACAAACAGGAACAAAAGGCAACAAGTTTACAAACTGTTGAACAAATATGTTTTATTATCATCTAAGAATCAACTTCTGCTGCGCTGACCCATTCCTGCATAAATTCTGGGTCATCTACTTCATCTCGATCTGAATTTGGTGCATTGTCATCGGAGTTGTCAACGTGTGCATCATCCACAGGACGCTTCTTTCCTACGCAATGTTTCAGATTATTAAATGTTTGTTACATAATATAATTTGTTGTATTTGTCATATCTAATTCTTCTACTTAATCCAATCATATGTAGATTATACATAGGAAGTAAAAACAAAACATAACCTTAAAGGAAAACAAACATTAACCAGCTCTCATAACTCACGAATCCCAATACATATCATGGTTTGAAACCAATAACAACTGTCCTTTGGAACCTGTTGGTCTTTTGGTTCGTCGTTGTTTTGTGGTTGCAGAACGGTTCTTGGTAGTCTTGGAGGGCTGCTTCTTCCCAGCTGCTAGCAGCAAAGACGACAAAGAGGATTGAGCACACTTCTCATCATCGGAGCTATCTTCACAATATGCATCTCCCCCAGCCACTTCCCAGGCACCAGTTTCCGGCAATGTGAAAGAAACACGCTCCAATGTTTCTACCTCAGTACATGATATGGTATGATATGACTGGTTGATATGTTGCTTAACATACATGATAAATGTTATAATATTTCTGACAAATTGATCCTTATATAATATATATTTAATAAATTGTAATATAAATACAATATCATATAATAAAATTCAATACAATATGATCATATAATATGATAATAATATACCATATAATATAATACATACTATGTAAAATGTAATTGTAGAATATTAAATATTATATTACATATTGAATATTTAATACTATATATATATTAAATATCATATAGTTTAAAATACTATATATTATATATTTTCTACTATATTATATTATATTATGTTATATTATATTATATTATGCTATATTAAATTATATTATATAATATTACATTATATTATATTATGTTATATTATATTATATATGCATATATATATATATTATTATTTTTTATTTTAAACAAATCTTATGTTTTGTTAGTTTTGTTGTTGTTTATAATTTATTAATAATGTTAAGACATTGAGCAATGATCAAAACAAACAGTTCATACGATATATATATATATATATAGTATTAGTATTACTGATTACTATGTTACAACATTAGATACCAAAATTTAGTGTGTCAAAATAAGTGAACCATAAGTCTTCCTTGTGCTGTCGTTTTGATATGAATGGGAATCATTCAAACTCAAATTAAAGTTTTAAACTTACATTAAACTCAAACTATAAGGTTCCATGAGGTCTCTGGAAACCATTTTTTTGGTGGCTATGTTGAGCCATGTAGGGGCTATGTTGGACCATGACGTTTTTTTCCTCCCGAAAATGGTTTCCAGAGACATCCATGGAACTTTATAAACTCAAACTAAAACCATACGATATACCATCAATGTGCACAACATATTTCACCTATCTAATTTCATTTGTTTGAACTCAATACATTTAAGAAATTGAAATGCAAAACAAGCTACCTGATATGATACCACCGCAAGATGAACAACTGTGTTGAACTGCAGAACCAAATCTCGAGCAAGTTCGGTATGAGACGATATCAATGGCAATGAAGCTGATTTCTCATTCCAGAGCAAACCTGCATCATAAATTCCATTGCCCCTCTCATAGACATTGCAACTCCACCACTCAGCAACATATGGTGAAAAGGTCCATGAGCACATAAGCCATGCTCGTAGAAACTCGATTTCGCCTGACTCTGTCCTCGGCCAGATGGAGTGATATGTTCGCTAAGTGTTTGGTAAGAGTTTCATATAGATATATATAGGATTAAATATCGAAACATCTAGGTATATAGTTATTGTTATCACTATAATTTAGCATTGTCATTATTACTAATTATTACATATAATTAATCAATCATTAATTTTCATTTTAATGTTAATAATTATTATAATTTAAAACAATATCATATGATATAGGCGATTAGGCTGGTTCAATTAAGATTGAAATTGAAATTGAAAAAAAACAATAAACAGACATAGCCACTAGCAATTTGATTAAGTTGTTTTGATGTTTGATGCATATCTATCAAATCAACAATCAACTATCAACCTATCGACAACAGCAACCAGGAACAAAACTACTAAACTGCTAAACCTTGACTCAACCAAGATTCCACCTGATGGCCAACATCAGAGGATGTTGTATGTTGCAGCTAGGCCCTTTGTTTCTACCACGAACAAGGTGACGCTTTCGATGCATTTTCACGAATTTCAGCAAATGGCTTACCAGCTTCTCATAGTTTGAATACTTATCTTTCAATACTTCAGCACAGAACCCTCTTTCCTGATAGCAACAAAGTCTTGTTGATCCTGGAGAAATCTTACAATCACCAACCAGTTGGGATGTACGTGTTCTCCAGGTTGAACTAAAGTTCTTGACAAACGACGCATTCTTTTGATCTGCTTCTTCAACTGTTTTCACTGCAATGCCAAATGATTCATCACCAATCCCCATCACTCCCCATCCTTCTTGTACTTGCAGATTGCCGATAAACGCAGTTGCATCTTCATGTGGAACAATTCCTCGATGGCAACGGCTTTAGGCCAACATATCATGGAATATTAATTGTGCTTGCTAATATCATTGAGGTACAATGTGTTATATCTCCTCATTAAAAAAACATAGTAACAACATAATTAATTATGATGCCCAATATTCTGTACCAAGTTGGCTGATATCTATTGAAATAAATTTACAATTGAACCAGCAACATGGTGTGTGCATTACAATTCATATGTTAGTTATTGTTATTGCTAAGATCCATTTAAATTTACATTATACTTATAATAGCATTGTTATTTATTGATTAACTAAGTATGTATGTTTTCAACAACAACAACAACAACAACAACAACAACAACAACAACAACAACAACAACAACAACAACAATCACACATGATGTTAGACTATCAAAATCTAATATATATGATATAGATACATTATGCTACAAAGTTGAAACTTTAAACGCTATAAACTATAAAGAAATGAACATACTATAACATAAACATACGCATTAGAAAGGAAATAATGTTGTGTGATTTCATGTGTGTTTCTTCTAGATTCTATATAACTATATACTTAAGTTACTTAAATTATATTTTGTAATTCTCTTAATTTTAAACTACCTAAAGTTGAACCTAAAGTAACAAGATAATACAATAGTGTTATTCAACATTACATTACATTACATTATTACATTATATTACATTATTAAATTAAACTTCACTAAATGTCAGTTACTCAGTGCCTTTAGTACTTTGGGATTCTAGATTCCACAAACATATATGATGCAAATTCGATAATACATACTTGATTCGCCACACAACCCAACAGTCCAATGAGAATGAATGAATGAATGAAATTTAACTAAGTTAACTAAAGCAAGGACATTTGGCATATAACTGTCTTTATCTACTATTGATGTTACTTACCTTTAACTGCAACTAACTAGTAACTTAACTGAACTAACATATCCTCACCAAATGCATATTAAGTATCGTTGATGTTGATCTGGTTCCTCTGTCAAACAGCTGATTTGAAGAGACGTTGATAGATTCGCATCTGATTGAGATTGAACTGGCACACTCTTGTTCAATCGGTTTCGTGAACGTGCTTTTGCTCTCCATGTAATCCGCAACCCTGCGTCTGATTTCCAAAGGCCCTTGCATTCCTCCCAAACACGTAGCCGACATTGTTCCTTTGACTCATTCGCCGACTGAGACCTGGTTGCTATCATGTGTTTGTAGAACATCCACCATCCATTCGTGTTGCCCTTCTTGGACTTGACATCAGTTTGATTGGATCCTTGGGAAAATTAATTGAACGATGCATGGACTCGTATGAGTTTCTATTACTATGAAAATAGAAATCTGTAGACTCTATAGTTACCAGACTACTGATAAATGAAAACAATAAGTAAGTATAATAAGTATCACTATTGCCAACGAAAACAACTTGATCACATAGTCTTTGAGTGCAACTGGTCTCTAGAATAGATTGAATAGATTAAAGATTCAAGATTCAAGATTGCTTGATTAATAAATATATCCAACTGCCCTCTCAATATGAATAGAAATGCTAAGCACTAAACACTAAAACAAGCAACTGTCATCATCAATTGATTGTAGACCAACATCATCAACATGCAGCTGCTGAGCGTGATCGGGATTTGCTGAACTAATCACATGATGTGGTTGGGTTTGACGAGCCCTAGCTCGTCGGTGTGCATGTTGAATCTCAGCCAGAAGGTGCTTGCAAATCATGTTGTGTGAACGGTCTGAACGGCCCCTATTGGTTTGCCTCATTGATGAAGCCCTACCAAAATTTGTTTCCACCTGGATATTGTGATTCTTGGAGCAAAATGTTCCCTGAAGGATTCGATATCCAATACCATTCTCTGACAAAATGTCATCCGGTGAGGTTACCTTGCTGCGAAAGGGTCCTGTGAATGCCTTGTCCAAACAGCATGGTTTCATGTTCAGCAGAAATGTTGCCAAAGTAGATTTTGCTTCGTCAGCAACTTGTGGATCAACCAAGAGAGCAAAACAAAATGGAGGTCTTCGATATGGACGTATAAGCCTACGCCAGACTGAACCCACAGTGACAGTCAACGCCCAAAAGAGATGCGTCACAAAGTCGGTCGGCACTGTTGACGGTAAACCTTTCAGGGACGGCTGTGATGGTTTTGGGGTAACAAAAAACAACAAACATGCGATTGATTTGATGTTATTTACAACAAACATTAAACATTAAAAACACAATAACACATTGGTTGATAGATTGTAGTTGTTTCCTAATTCCTAGTTTAGTTTAGTTTGTTTGCTATATTCTTTTGTTGGCTATCAAATGTAAATGTTTTTAACTTAGACTTAAACTCAAACTTAAATCAAATCAATCTTTTAAGATCAATCCCTACTACTATCAATGAAACCTAGTTTCAATCTGACAATTGAAATATTCAGTTTAAATGTAAATTTCAAGTTGAAGAAATAAATAGAAACATTTAAAACCAATTAAGTTTTGAAGTTTAAATAAGTTAAATATAAATATATAATATAAATATAAAGTGAGAATATAATGGCATGACTCAATTATCTTGATTAGGTTTTATAGCTTTATCAACCATAATTATGGCCATGAACCTTGTGTCATCTCATCAATGGTAACATTGCCGCTTGAAAATGCTGAAATCACACCAGTCTGCATCATTGCTGATAGCTCTCGGATTGCAGAAGCTGCAGGTGATGTGTGCATGTTGCTCATTCTGATAAGCGGTGCGTTCTCCAGTGTCATCCAAGTCTCTGATTTTTGCCACCCCATAAAGCACCACATTACCCTTTCCAACATTTGGGTAGCAAGAACACATGTCAGCAAATTGTAAGCAGTTTTTTCACATTGCAACCACTCATAGACTTTGAAAGACTTGATGCGAAGTACCCTCAAAAAGTTTTCGGATTCAGTGGCATCTCCCACCAATTCAACTGCTGAAACCAATTCATTACATTCTTCTTGTCGTTCATCCATCACTTGGGGAAGATCATTACCTCCAGCTGGTGATGCGTGCATAAGAAGAAAGGCTCGCCAGAGAATGTTATGATACCCACAGCACAATAGAAAATACCGAGAACTTGAGCCGCATGTGGTCCATCTTGACACCGCTGGAACTGTAGGTTTTGCTCGGAAAACCAAAGCCTGAAATTGAGTGAAACAGTGAGAATAGACACACACACACATCTTCAATCCTTAACTTTTGGTATGACCAAACTGACCAAACCAACATAGTGTTGTTGTCACTTGTAACCAATTTTTGAAGTTGTAAAATTGTAAAATGTAGATAGTTGTAAATTGTAAAATCAAACCCAAAGCATTGCATGTTTTGTAGCCCCTATGTTTATAGGACCCATCATAAGAAAGTAACTATAAATTAAGACAATTAAACATATATAAGAGAGTAACTATGAATTGTGACCCCTATATTTGTTGGATCCATCATATATATAACAAAGCAACTGTGAATTAAGACAATTAAACATATACAATAGTATGTTGGTTGATGCTGAAGCAGAAGTCAGTATTTATGAAATAAACAGTTGCACCAGATAAGTAATACAAAACAAAACCAATGCTAAGATCAGATGCAATGATTGCATTCAGAAGTTTTGCCCTTGTCTCAGCAACATTCTTGCAGCAAAACACACCATTGCAATGATGATGTATGTGTGGTGTATCCCATCGCCCAGAATCCAAGCACGTAAGGTCATCAACCTCATGCTTGAATTTCTCGAAGTTGTTCTTGCCGATGCACATTTCCAGGAAGCATCGATTCCGACGCACGATATCGGGATCTGGCCTTAGGTTATCGGGATGTGTTAAATAGGATTGTCAGCACATTAAGTCAATGTGATGATGATGATGAAGATGATGATGATGATGATGACGATGAACATGATGATTATGCTGATGATGATGATGGGGATGATGGTGAGTGATGATGAGGATGTTGATAGTCATGCTCATTTTGAATTTTAGACCTTATATATTAGTATTAGTTATTGTATTTCAAATCATTGAACAAACATTTTGCACACTATCTGAAATTAACCACAAAGTTCTAATTGATAACTCCGGCAGTTAACACAGTTTTAATTTTGATGAATCATAATGATACAACTGCTGCAACAACCACTACGGCGACAACAATGATGGTGATGGTGAATCGTGACAATGATGATGATTATGATTTGTAATGATTGTGTTTGAATATAGTTTTTATCTAATAAATATATATCATATAAATATATATGAAATATGCTAATATATACTCAACATGTCAATGAATGGTGAACATAACAGATAGAGACCCGCATAACAAAATAAACAAGTAATTGGTAAATTTCCACTTGGGTTAGTTCACCAAAAAAGGCCCCCACAAGTCCCCAAAAAATAGTGTTTTCCCTGCATTGATAAAAGATTTTGGGACTTGTGGGTGCCTTTTTAGGGGACTAACCCAAGTGGAAAATTAGCACAAGTATTTTTTTCAAAACAAAACAATAGCATAATGATGGTGTCAGTGTTGATCGTGTGTTGTTTGTTGTATAATGAGGTGTGTTGGTGTCTGGTGATGATTTTACGACCGGAATTGATAGGTAGTAGTGTTGGCAACAAAAGGATGAAAAAAAAAACTCAGAGCTTAATCCATTACTATGATTCACTTATGAGTTGGTATAAACAAACATTTTTTTAAGAGTCTTTGAAACATATACAAGTGGATTAGTCATACCTTATACATATGAAAACGATAGGATTAGTTTCTTAATTACAAATATATTTTTATTTATGCATTTAAATTATGATAATGTTAGGTTGTAAGCCATAAGTTAAATATTGTTTTCTTAAGTGCAGACACAATTATGATCTTGAATCATGATTTAGCACTTAAACTTATATCCTTAGTGTTGTTAAATATTGGTAGTGTTGACAACAAAAAACAATTCCAGTATGATGGTTAATGACAAGTATGACTATGATTGTACTTGACTACATTAGTGTTGCAAAGTTACAAATGATATAACGATGAAAAGACCTGGTGTGAGTTGCTTAAGGTATACTACAGCTAGGTTGAGTTGAGTTTATATAATATAATTTAAATGTTAAAATGAAAATATATTAATTAATATTATAAGATATAAATATATTAATATAGTTGCAATTATTAAACTAAACTATTAATAAACAATAATACCATTCAATGAGTTAGTATTACTAACTAGCTAAATATGTTAATAAGTTCAATGTGAATGCAATTTCAGATGAGAAAGGTGCTACTTGCAACCTGCAACACCAAAGAAGCCGAGGAACAACACATATATATATAATATATAATGTGCCGATGAATATATGTCAAACTGAATCACACCTTCCTAACATGAATCATAAATCATACAGGGATTAGAGAGATCATATGATTCGATTTGATATACCTTTCACATAATTTCAGATTATCATTAGTACATGTGGTGTTTGATTATTATATGATAATTATGAAAATCATATTTGGTTTCTGTACCATTTACAACCTATGTTATGTAGATATTGTATTGTATTGTAAGATACACAAAACTGGTTGAAGGCATGTCATATCAGTAGAGTCGTCTTGAGTCTTGTTGAACCCCTATCTGGTTATTGAGTACATGATTTTCTCAACGTTGACCCCCAAGTCACTCTGATCCATGATGGACAATCACTGTAGATGGATCCATCAGCCAAGCATGAACCGCACGTAGAAGATGAAAATAGGTGCTACCCGTCGCCATGTATCCAGTCGCATAGAACCTCACAGTCGTGATGAAGTATAAATCAGAAGTCAAATCTCAAATCATATCTCAACTCAAATCAAATATTGAATAACATGAAACTAAATCATATGACAACTATACATGTCCAGTAATTGTAAGTTTCACTGGTTTGAGAATCAACCTGAAAACTATGCATTATGTTATGTAATATAATGTTTGAATATTTTGGAATATATTTTCATTAAATTCAGATAGTTATTTTGATATTCATAATGTATAGTCTATCAGTCTATCATTAACGATAAGATGGTAAGACTAAGTGCATACTAAGTAGCGATGGTGATAGCACAGGTATTCCACGCCAAATGGGCTCAGCAGCATGATTCAGTTCGTGTCTTGGTTGCCACATCAAAAAGGAAAAATGTCAGTGTGATGTTGTTTTTGTTATTCCAAGTATTGTTGTTGTTATTGTTGACGTTGCCGTTGTTGCCTGTGTTTGTTGACGGAGATGTTGTTGTTGTTGTTGCTGCTGTTGTTGTTGTCGGTGTTGTTGTTGTTGTTGTGGTTGTGTTCAATCATCATAAGTTTCATATGTTTCATAGCTTCATATGTTTCGTTTCCAGTTTCAATTAACTAATGTATAGTAATAGTATAGTATCATAATTCATGTGTTTCGGTTTCATATATGTCATCATTGTTAGTTGCATATTTGCTATTTTTCAGTTGAAGTTGTTAGGTTGCTTCTCAAAATAATAAACAAACCTCAAACACACAGACACACGCACACACACTTCAAGATTTACGTTTAAAGTTCTAGATTTTAGTTTGCGTGATAATTTGAACATCAAATTGTGATAGCCCAAGTTGAGAGCCAAGGAACATGTCGCAGTTCTTGAAGAGAACTGCAGCGTTGCTAGGCATTGCAGGTAGCAGGAATGCGTTGATCATACGTCCGTTTGCGCTTGCATTGTCACACATAACCCGCAAAATGAAGAATTCAGAATGTGTCCCCCAACCTCAGTCGTGAGAGCAGATTTAGTTTATCAGCGATAAAGAATTGAACTTGACCTAAGAATATTTACTATGTCATCGATCAATGACAAAAACACAATGTTGATGTTTCATGTTTCATGTGTCCAATGAATTGAACTTAATGTTTGCTGCTTACACAAAAATCGCATAAACACAAAAACTGTCTATGATCTCTAGTCATTGACTAGATTTACAAATGTATCCATTTATTGCTCAGATTTTTGATACATTTAGGTTGTGTTGTTCTATGCAGTGGTGCAACCCAAGTCGCTCCATAAATCACATGGGTGGCGTGTGCAAATAGCTTCATAAATACTTTCAGCCGTCTCGTTCTCTAGCACCGCCGGACACATTGGAATTGTCGAATGCCTTAGTTGAAAGTTGAAAACCATTACCATTTTCACATGAATGAGTCAAATCAACCACATCGACATAGAATCAAGAATCTAGAATCTAGACTCAAGGATGTATTGCGTGTTTTGTCAATATAACTATAACATAAATATACATATATGTTTTCTTTGTCAACATAAACTGTCCTAAAGCTTTTCACACATCATGTAGGGACTCCAAGTCAACATTTATTTAGTCAACATTAAACTTCGTGTGAAATCTAAAACTATTTAAGTCACCTTTAATCAACAAACATCCATTAAGTCACCTTGACCGTAATGCATGCAAGAATCGACCACTTAGATGTCTCCTTGCTCATCTGCAGAAGTTCCATGCGTTGCAACTCAGTCCCACATGCTGATGGCTTGGGTTTAGGTTTGACATGGAAATCAAATCAAATTCAGCCTGCTACATGAAGTGGCAGGAGGTAAGAAAGGGAAAAAAAACATTTATATATATATACTTTAAAAAAACATGAAACATCTTGAGAGTTTTGCAATTGCAAAATTAAGACAAGCTGCAAAGCAATGGTACTTTGCATCCGCATCAACCAGACCACATCGTTGTCGTAGACGGAAGCTCGAGGCGTCAAACTCTAGGAGAACAGAAGAGATCAATGGTTTGGCCTCACATACAGGAGAATCATATTATAGTATATCAATATATATATATATGTATGTATGGTATGTATAAATATTAACATGTTTGTTTGAGCCACAATGTTAAGGGATATTTTATAGAGCAGCGCTGAAGATATACTGATATACATATATGGCTTGCACGTATCTTCAAATTTATTTTGTTTGGTTACAAGCAACAAAACTAACAAAACACATACTTGTTTGATTACATGCTTTAGAATTTGAATGCAATTAATATAGTTTATTAAATATTACTAGTAAGTATGATCTTCACTAGTTTTCTTGCCTATCATCCCAATCGACGATCGTAATACAACAATGGTTTATGTCATCTATGTAATGCAATCTAATCACATTTGTGTATATGATTTGTTAGCAAATCATGTGTTGATTCTATATTATTAGCATTAGTATTAGTATTAGTATCTGTATAAGTATTAGTATTAGTATTAGTTTATGATGATATTTTTTCAGTGCAAACTAATCATGTACATAGATATTATGATGATTTAAGAATTTAAGAATCATAATTATTAAATGTTTTGTTACACCCTACAATTTCCAACAAAAATACACTATCATTTGTCATGATTTAACAACCTAATGATAACTACAGCCTTATACTTATTGATAGTTAAATTGATTTAATAATTAAAGATGTGAATGTGGTCATGCGAATAATGTCAACATTGTTTGTCCCCCCAGTGCCATTCATTATCCACTGTCTGATATGATTGTAGTATCTGTGTTTGTGTTGAATAATGAATACTAGAAAAATAATATACGAAGTTACTATAGAATCAGTATGTACTTAATTTAATATTTAATGATTATAATAAGGACTCTAGCCTCTAGAATCTAGAATCTAGAATCTAATCATCTAATCATCTAATCATCTAATCTAATTTAATCTAGTCTAACCTAATCTAATCATCTAATCTGATCAAACAAAACCGACAATAATATTGATATATATTGATTGATATTGATCCACTACATTGTATCAATTACAAGTACATCACAAAATATTGCAAAATGCAATCCAGAATCACAAATCCATAAACTACTAACGTTTGTTCCCTTCCCTGCTCCGATTATTGTTTGCATACTCGACACAAGCTGTGATCGTTGAAGTCCGTCTTGCAGTCGTTGCATAAAGAGTTCAGCCAATGCACATCGGACCTCGGGAAATGGTTGCACTTAGGACAAAAAAAAAAGATATCCATGCCAGAATCTAGAATCATGAATCATGAATCATGAATTGCCGTTCTACCGAATGTGATTTTGTGTAAAGTTTGATTTTGACTTTGACCTTTTGCCTAGTGCCTGGTGATTTTTAGATTTTTACTCATCATATATATATATAATATTTACAGCAAATTAGTTTCATCTTGTAGTTCTTGGTTATTGATTGATTGATAATACAACCTGTATCCTATTCAAACAGAAACTGGCTAGCAAATCATAATATCAGCTTGGGCACATTGGCGGTATGGGAAGCTGATGCTTCCAGCCAGTAAGCCAGCGAATTCAGACTGTACATTGAAGGAATTTTGCCATGCAAATGGGAGGATATGCCACTTTGTCGACAACTGTGACCCAACCTCAGTGGTGGCATGTTTTTTTTCTCAAGTTGTCAGATTAGTCTCTTATCGACAGTGCATTCATGTGATTCAGATTTGAATACTAATGACTTGAGTTGGTAGTAGTTATTTTATTTAGATTCTACTCCAGTGGGCAGAGAAATGAAAATAATATATATATATATATATAGCGCCGTATAATATATATATATATACTAACGAACATTAACGAACAATGGGATGCCTTAGAATTCAATCATCCTGGCTAGCTACAAAGCTAATAAAATAAAACCTAACAGTAAACAATTTGGTTCTGTGATTGATAAATCAGTCAAACAGTTCAATTCCCCATCAACCAAATAAAATGGTGACAAACAATAACAATACCAAAATGATATAGAAATGCAAACTCCAGTAACGATGACCGCAACATCATATACGGAGTCCATGTACGATATTTCCCACGACCCGATACTCCAGTCTTCGAGCAATGATGCTTACCTTCTGCGAATGCAACATCGCGTTTGTTCACCGCATGTTTCTTGATGTAGACATCCACAAGTGACCTGTCGCAGGCTTTCAAGTCTCCAATGTTCCAAAATGCAGTTTACTATACAAAAATGTAGTTTTTCCAAATGCAGTTTGTAAAAAATTGTAATGTAAGAAATTTGAATGATTTGTCTCAGATTGTCCAACATGTTGAAAAAAAACAACATAATATGTTTGTATGACTATTGGATACGTGAATGTTCGAGAGTTCAAAATAGTGTATTCATGCGTATTATTACGATTCCTAATAACATGAATCTGCAGAATTTGATCTGAAATCAAGATTCAATTAATGAAACAGAGTTATGAGATATAATTTGGTTTTGGATCGGATGATGAATCAAAGAATCTACTCTATTGATCTCACAGATCACAATTTTCACAAGTTTGTTCTCATAAAATACGGTATATGATATGTTAGGGTTCAAGAAAATGAATAAGCAAGTTGCCTGTGCGACGTCTCTCGATTGCTCAAGTCACGTCGAACTGCAGCCAGCTGCCGACCTCAATCTATTTAACCATGCTGAATTGATTTTGGATTCTGTATTCCAGATATGTTCCAGACTACAGGCTTGATATCTAGATAATTATAATTTGAAACAATTTGTGTAGTGTAACAAAATATATTATATTATATGGTAATACGGTAATATAATATATATTTATATAATATATACATACAATATAATGTAATAAACAAATAATATTAGACAACAAATACAAAGCAATTAAATAATCAAATATTAATGTGGCCTTTAATACTGCACTGTATAATGCAAAAGCATAGCAATAGTACTCAGTAATGAAATATTTTAAAAAAATATATATAACAATTTTAAATAATAATAATAATACAATATAATATCATGTCATATATCAAATCTAAAATAGTAAAACAAACAACAATATTGTTTTTTTGAATATAATATAATGTAATATAATAAAATAAAATACAATATATCATAATATACATAATATGTTATAATATACATAATATGTATTAATATGTTATAATATTGTATTATTTAAAAATATTCTAATTTAATATATTATAAAATAATGATAAAATAATAAAATATAATTTAATGCTATATAATAAGTATTTAATATAATACTAATTAATATGTTTTGAATTTGGTTTAAACAAATATCAATTAAAATATTAGATATAGGTTAAAGAAATATGTTTAAATAATATATAATATATTACATATTCAATATTATTGATAATTTTTGTTATTATTATATATTATATTATATATATATATTTAAGTAGATTAATTGTAATATTATTTAATTAATATTAGATTCTAGATTCTAGATTTCAAACCAATTAATCACTATGACTATATGTAATGTAATCATAACTCAAAAGATATCATATCATACCGTCAAACCGTAATATCTATCCGATCCACACCAATCAATTCTCAATACTCTCAATAGCAATGCATGTTTGTTCCAAATAGTTACAGAAGCTCATCGATATGCAATTGAACCGAACCCGTGCCCCCATGTTGATTCATATAATTTGTGTTTCAAATGTCAAATTCCAAACAAGGCTCCATAAAATAACCATTGTTGAATGAACAGATCTGAACTTTCAAACCCAAATAAATTCGGTAATTTATCGTATTCAGTGCCTCATGGTTCTAGACACAAAGCATCCAAAACTGAGGGCCCTGACATTTTGTCAAAAATCTGCCGGTGACGCGGCGATTAGCACGCTCTGGTTCATCCACACTTTCCGAGCTGAGTTGTCGCAGGATGGAGTTGATGACACGCGCCATCAAGTGGTTGTGTACAAGAAACTCACTTTTTTTTTTACTGGTGAATTATCTTGTGCTGTTTGATACAAACAACAGGTCCAAATTTAATATAGCTAGGCTATGAGTTATGAGTCATGAGCCATGAGGTTGTGGCACGAATCCAATCCAAGTTGATAGGATAAACTCTGATAAACTGATAGGACCTTGCTATATGGTTGGGTTGGAATGAGCTACGTCAAGCCTGATACTTGGCATTGATGTCTCTGAAATCAGAAATCTAACATGTTGCATTGAACTTGAACATAACTTAACATTAATCGAATCAGAATCAAAATTCGAAATTACGAATGCCTGTGACCATCTCTCAGTGTTCTCAGCGTGCGAGAGTGTTGCATCTGGTTTGTCCATGTTCACAGCCAGAACGCAGCATGTTAAAGGTGAAACGTCTAAGTTGTTAGGATAATATTATGTAATAAGATCCGATGTTGTCTTCCAGTTGCTTCTCACCAAATTGGATGCCCATCAATCAAAACAATCTGAATTATACGAATGGAATAGGAACCGTCAGCGAGCTAGTTTGCAATTTGTACATTGTACATTGCAGTGTATATACTTATACATCCTTGACACGTCGCTGACTCATTTGACAGCGGTTGTTCTTGGTCTTACAGTTCATTGTTTTTTTGTTGTTGTTGGTGGTGGTGGTGGTTTTTGATTCAACAGTTTAACAGATAACAGTAATATCATATCGACCAGCTTAAGTAGTATTAGCCCTTTTTTTTGTACCGACCTGACCCCCCTCCACTCTCCCTCTGCACATCTCACTGCCGTCAACGGTTGATTTTTGATGATTCAATCAAAACCAAATCATGTTGACAGTAGCTGTATTCAATAATGAATCATTGAATTGAGTCTGAAGTAGTGTACACAAACATCTAACATACATGTAACATGTATCATACATGACATGAATGACAATAAAATATAATCAATGTACCTATTATTAGATACAAAAAACTAAAAACTAAAACCCATATAATTGACAGAAACTTACCTCCACCCGATATATCTATATTTATATAATATATATATATATACATATATATTAATATTATTTTTATTTATATATAATATAAAATATATATGATATTATACTATATTATAGCATATTTTACATTATTATGTATCATTTTGTAAGTATATAATATTATTAAATAACATTATTTAATATTATATTACAAATGTATAGGAAATATGATATATATAAATTATATAAATTATCTATTATATATATTATACTATATAGATATTATAAATTGTAAATTAAAAAATAAATTTATGAATTGATGAACTATAACTATAAAAAAATATCTACAAATATAAGTAAAGGACCGCTATATATGTCGCACACATGTATCGTACACACAAAAGAACCGTACGCACACATCGCACGCACATTCCGTACGTGCAAAAGAACCGTACGCACACATCGCACGCACGTACCGTACGTGCAAAAGAACCGTACGCACACATCGCACGCGCGTACCGCACGTGCAAAAGAACCGTACGCACACATCGCACGCACGTACCGTACGTGCAACAGAAGCGTACGCACACATCGCACGCACGTACCGTACTATAACTGCTTCCGTACCGTGCATCTACGTACAACCCCTCTCATAAACCATTGTTTGCATAGCTTTCGGGAATAGCTAAGTTATTCAAATTATTTCAAATTTATCTAATGATCACTCGGCTGTCATTCGCGTTGCTGCTCCCGTTATCCACCTTTTGCCCGCTGGCCTCGCCAAGGGACACCGTCCGGGACACGGACGGCTCCGCCCAGGACTTCTGGAAGTGATCCGAAATGCTCGACCTGGAGTCCGATGGGTTGCCGGAACAAAAACTGCCAAACATGGATAGAAAAAAATGGTGGTTTTACCATGAACAAATGATGGATACAAATGGATACAATAAATGATGGAAATTGATGAAATATTGAATGATAAATAATGATAAATATACTCCCAAAGATGGAACAATTGTGACATGGAATGACATGGATACAATAAGCAGCTGGTTTTGGAGAAGATCTACGGAAACCATGGTGTCTATTCTACCCAAATGAAGGGTGATTCACCCGCAACTTTTCCCACTATTCCGAGAAGTTGATGTTCTCAAGTAATTCCTGACTTGTCCAACTTCAACTCTCTGTGTTTGGGATATTTTCAGATGGCATAGTATGGTATAGTTTAATTTAGCAAACCGTTGTCTCCGAATGCCATATTAGTCTGCAAAAACTAAACAATTGTGTACCCATATAAAGAGCCCCATACCTTTCCCCCTTTCAAAAGAAACAACTGATAACATCAAATTGTCCACCTATAAAAGGAAAAATTGAAAACGTATGAGCGGCGGACAAAATTACTTACTACTCGCAATGAACATGGCCAAAGTGGGTGGTCCCCTATCGGCTGTGAAGGTTTTAACACAAATTTGGACATCCCAAGTCCACTACGACTTTAGTCTTTAGAATCTTGTCGGTTGCCCTCTGGTAATTTGACAGTTTGCTATTGAAAATGGCCCGGTCGAAATAGTGGTAATTTACCCATTAATAGCATGGTGGATCTTTCCAGTTCGCTATGTAACAGTCATTACCAGAGGGTAAAACCATGGTAAAACATGGTAAAACCACCATTTTCCTATGGTTTTCCTATGGTTTTCCTATGGTTTTGCCACAACTTCCACCCAACCATCCCCCGTAGGGACCCCCGGCAGCGCCGCCGAAATGCGCGCCGGCCGCTCTACCGGCTCCGCCGTCACCGTCAGCTGCAGCGAGGCAAGGGACTCGGTGACGGAGACCAGCTGAAGGATGGGCCAGGAGGACCAAGCTGCACCCTGCAGCTGCTGCGGGGATGTGGGGATGGGATTCCATGGATGGTGGATGATGGATGGACGTTTTAAAGGATGAAAACTGGAACAAAAAAACGGAGGACGTTTTGGGGATGAGTGAAGCGGTTAGGCCGCCTGATGTTGGGCGATATATGTACTGTTCGCGAGATGTGTAAAGGGGATATGACTAGTGACTACTGGATACTAATGAGATAGTCGCGTATTGTGTCACCAACCATGTTACGGGATTTCAATTGTGAAAACCAGGAGACTACAAATACTGGACCAATCAATAATGGATGGTTGGTGCATGCGTGGGCGGTTGATTTGTGTTTGTGTTTGATGTGGGTAGTTGATTTTAATGTTGATTTACCCCGAAAACGCATCAAATTCAAAAGACAGAACATAGACCAAAACAACAGGATGAAAAACAACACATTAGAGATTCCCGAAAAAAAACATCAAAATTCCACAGAAACATCCGAGATTCCCGAAAAAACCCATCAAAATTCCAGCAAAACATCCAGCAAAAATCCCATCCCCAGCTCTCCAAATGGCCTTGACCATGGCCTCTGCCACTGCCTCTGCCGCCTCTAGCGCCTTCCCATCCTTCGCATCCTTCGCCAGCGCCGCGAGGACCAGACTGCAGTGCTTCGGCTGAAAGGCGTGACCGCTGGCGATAATGGCAGGGTAAAGGCTGGAGCTGCAGAAGTGCCTCAAATCGCCTGGTCTCTGAAAATTGTGATGAAAATTTGCTGGAAATGGACACATGAAAATTATGGGATTTACTTGAATATCCGCCGACCCCGGCCTTAGCCAAGGCAGGGGCGGCGCCTGGGACCACCGCAGGTGTGGAACTTATCTTTCTTAGCAACAGGCATCCCAAGGCCACATCAATGGCTTCTTATGGGCGTCCAAGCCTGCCGTGTGCCAGGCCTTAAACGCTTAAAAGGCTTCAAACCGTTACACGCCTAAAACCCCTAAAACGCTTCAAACCGTTAAAACTTGCAAAAGCGTTTCGGAACGCCCAACCGCGCAGGCACAAGCTATCCCCAAGGCCAGATCCATCGCTTCTTCACGCCTAAAACGCTTCAGACCGTTAAAACTTGCAAAAGCGTTTCGGAACGCCGAACTCCGCATGCACAAGCTACCCCAAGCCAGATCCATCGCTTCTTCTAAGCGCGGTCCAGCCTGTCGTTCGCCAGGCGTTCGCAGCCAACAGGCACCCTAAGGCCACATCAATGGCTTCTTATGGGCGTCCAAGCCTGCCGTTTGCCAGCCCCTAAACGCTTCAAACGCCTAAAACGCCTAAAACGCTTAAAACCGTTAAAACTTGCAAAAGCGTTTCGGAACGCCCAACCGCGCAGGCACAAGCTATCCCAAGGCCAGATCCATCGCTTTTTCTGGGCGGTGCAAGAGCTACCCCAAGGCCAGATCCATCGCTTCTTCTGGGCGGTCCAGCCTGCCGTTTGCCAGGCGTTCGCAGCCAACAGGCACCCCAAGGCCACATCAATGGCTTCTTATGGGCGTCCAAGCCTGCCGTTAAAACTTGCAAAAGCGTTTCGGAACGCCCAACCGCGCAGGCACAAGCTATCCCCAAGCGCAGTCCAGCCTGTCGTTCTCCAGGCGTTCGCAGCCAACAGGCAACCCAAGGCCACATCAATGGCTTCTTATGGGCGTCCAAGCCTGCCGTTTGCCAGCCCCTAAACGCTTAAAACGCCTAAAACGCCTAAAACGCTTAAAACCGTTAAAACTTGCAAAAGCGTTTCGGAACGCCCAACCGCGCAGGCACAAGCTATCCCAAGGCCAGATCCATCGCTTTTTCTGGACCGTGCAAGAGCTACCCCAAGGCCAGATCCATCGCTTCTTCTGGGCGGTCCAGCCTGCCGCTTGCCAGGCGTTCGCAGCCAACAGGCAACCCAAGGCCACATCAATGGCTTCTTTTGGGCGTCCAAGCCTGCAGTTTGCCAGCCCCTAAACGCTTAAAACGCCTAAAACGCCTAAAACGCTTAAAACCGGTAAAACTTGCAAAAGCGTTTCGGAGCGCCCAACCGCGCAGGCACAAGCTACCCCAAGGCCAGATCCATCGCTTCTTCTGGGCGGTGCAAGAGCTACCCCAAGGCCAGATCCATCGCTTCTTCTGGGCGGTCCAGCCTTCCGTTCGCCAGGCGTTCGCAGCCAACAGGCACCCCAAGGCCACATGGCTTCTTATGGGCGTCCAAGCCTGCCGTTTGCCAGCCTGTACAAGCATCAAAATGTACCCCAAAGCCAGATCAATGGCTTCCTCTCGGCGTTCAAGCCTGCCGTTTGCCACCTTTTTCCTTCACAACGCCGTCCTTGACAGAAAACTGGTTCCCACAGACCGTTCGATGGTTTATTTGCCCTGTCTTCACGTCACTGGCCACATTCCCTTTGCAAGCGGGGCAAATGTACACATACGCTTTTTCCTTCACAACGATCCATAACGACGGCTGCGGGGAACATGCGCATGTTACCAACCCCCCCATTAAGGAGGGGTCGGCGGCACCAGGGCGCTAGCCCATTCTATAAAACTAATCTGAAGTGATCATACCCAGATGCTCCCGCTGGAATATTCAGCAACATGTACTATCAAAAATACCCAAATGTTCAGCATATGGATCACCAACAATTCCAATCATTGCAACAGACATGGGGGTTGGAATCAATCTCAACTAGATTGACATCATTAAATCAACCAAAAACACAGATTTCACAACAAAAAACAGCCATAAAAACTGTCCAACAAAAAACTCTCCGGTTTTGTGTAGCTGCCCCTTGCAAGGAACCCCCACCTGTTTCACCAGTTTCACCATCGTCCACCGGCTCCATGTGCATCGCGTGCGTCAGGCTGCTGCAGAGCTGCCCCAGGTGGCTGGGCTTCAGGCGCTGCCGCGGCACCAGCCGCAGCTGCCGCAGCGCCGCCGGCAGCAACGGCGCCAGAGGAGCTGTGGCGAGGAGCTCCAAACGATGCAGGGCTTGGAGAAGGGAACAGATGCCTCTGGAGGTTGGAGAAATTTGTGTGTGAAACATCAAAACAACAAAAAACAGGTCCAGAAATTAAAAAAACACCTGGGATTTTTTAGGCATTTAGTTTGGATGAGTTTAAAGCTTTTTGAGTGGGTTTGAAAGGTCCTTTTAAACAGGTTTTAAGTTATAAGGGTGTTGAAACAATGATTAATCTGGTTTTTAAGCATGGCTTATCAAAGCCAACATACTGGAAGATTTCATCGACAAAACTGGGGGCGCTTGGGGTAATGTAAAAAAATACTTGGGTATGAGGCTGGTTTCTGTTTGGAAGCAAGAGATTTGATGGACTGAATGATGAAGCGTTCATAGATGTGTGCGTGTGGGATCCTAAAGTTGCGAGGTCTTGTCCAAATGCATGACCCATTTCTGGGAACAAGGCCCCAACATAGCAAACCTACTGTGCTCAACACAACCATTGTTGGTCGACATGCTCCCTGCATTGGATTGCTCTACATACTTTCTAAGGGGTCAAGTATGCAAGGCATACTTGGGGTGTGACTCCCTTAACAAACAATGTGGGAACCCCCCCAGTTATAATGTTTCATAAGTTTACGAACCCATCTATGTAGCATAAACATGCATAAACCCAACAGACATCCCACTTCTAACCCCAACTTCGATCATGAATCACCTCGAAATCCACCATTTTTTGTCCCATTTTCCACGGTGAAACCGTCACAACCGTGGCCTTCCAAGGACAACTGTGCCATCAACTCCCCGGGCCGGCCAGGCGCCAACCTCGGGGGCGATTGGATTGGGATTCCATGGGTAAATTGGGTATATCCCAGGAATTTCTTCAGGGAAATTCTGGGAAATTCAGGGAATTTCTGGGTTTTCATATTGAATAGGGAGAGGGATTTACTAGATTTGTTTTGACACAATGACTACGGATCTGTCCTTCATTTTTTCTTGGGGGACTTGGTTTCAATATTGGATTAGTTGAAATGCCCGTGCAACTTCAAGAGTATTTCACTCATCAAAATTCATAATCCAATAATCCACTGTCATTTTTGACTATGGTGGGTGATGTGCATTGATAAATCAAATGTCTCCCTTCTAAACTTCTCTTGATGATGGGAATTCCCAAATGATCATCGAAGTTTGGAGATCTTAATAATACTCAGAGGAAAGACATAACCAACTTCCCCAAGTGATCTCAAGTGCTTTCATAATTCCCATGTAAAACGCTTATATAGATATTCACTGTGAATAACCTCCACTTAAACGCTAACAAATTTGATAATGATAATTTCCCTGATCATGACAATCAAAACACACATAGATTAGTGCAGCTCATCAAGTTTTCTATCCCCCACTACAAGTATTTCTTCATAACTCTATAGTTGGGAAACTCAATTTGTAGTCCTTGGCTCCTCATTTCATAACGGATAGATATGGAAAGCGTGAACCGCTCCGAACCCCAAAAAATTCACCCCCGGATTGTGCAACAGCCCCCATTCCATTCACCAACCCATGACCCATGACTGGAGGCCAGTCAAAATCATTTCATTTCTAGGGGTCCCAAGATCATAAACCTCAAACTTGGGGATGATGACCATGGCATTGGGTAAATCCCCACATACGATATGAAATCCCTGTCAAATGCCCCGTCATATCCCGTAACTCACGGTATACGCAAGGTAGACTTAGCTGGTTTTCCGAAGTCTAGCCGGGCTACCCCATGAAAACCATGCTTGTTTCGAGGTCCATGCTAAGTGGTTTCCTAAGTCATTTACCCCGAGAAAACAACAGTCAATTCAAGGCCTTTTTGTTAGCTAAGTGGTTTCTTAGACTAAGTGGTGTCCTAAATCATATACCCGGTAGTACCCGTAGGTCATGATAACCACTTTCCCCCTCATGGAAACACACTGTGAGCTAAGTGTCCTAAGTGAAAACCATGCTGGTTTCGATACGAAGTCCTCTGGTTGGTGGTTTCAACCCGTCTGAAAAATATGAAAGTCAATGGGAAGGATTATCCCATATATTATCACCAACCAGATGACTGATCACTGGGGCTCCCCAGCCATGGCTGCAGCAAGCGTTGCAAGCCCTCCGCCACCTCTGCACGGTGTGCTTGCGAGACCTTGGGAGATACAGGAAGGAAAACGTGGCGAACCATAGGGATGTATCAGGAAAACATATGGAAAAATAGGGAAAAATAGGGCAAAAAATATGGAAAACATCTGGGAAACATATGGAAAAATAGGGAAACATAGGGGGAAAATAGGGAAAAAATATGGAACACATCTGGGAAACATATGGAAAAATAGGGAACAATAATAGTGATTTCAGGGCAAAAAGTTGGATCCAACCAATGGAAAATAGACAACATGTCAATGTTATGGTATTTTGCCGGCAAATACTGAGAAGTAAGATGATCTTACCCTAGAGTACATTATAATTACAAGAGTACATTATATAAGATAGTTATAGAAAATTCACCAATTCACCGCTTGCCAATTGCAGATCATGTCCTAAGAAAACCAACAATTTAGCACTAATAATATGTGTTTCTTGAATCTGTGATACTCAACCTTGGCCCAATCCACAGTTTGAACTCACCCGAAACCGAAGTCATTGCCCAACAAAAATTCCCAAATCTTCCGAATCACTCCGAAATCCATAAACTTTAAGTGAATCTCAGTTATGTTTTTTCCAGTATATCAGTTTAATAATGCAATCTCAAAAAAGTGACATCGATTACCCTCTGGTAAACTAACATAGCCATTGAAATTGGGCCAGTCGAAATAGTTGATTTACCCATGAATAGCATGGTGATTTTCCATAATTGTGTTTGTTTACCAGAGGGTAAAACCACCATTTTCCTATGGTTTTCCTATGGTTTTCCCATGTTTTTTTTTGAAAAACCACCGCCGGCCGGTCATCCTGGCATCCCCGGCAGCTGCCAAAGCTGAAGCAAGCTGCGCCAAGTCCTGGGGTTTGCTACCGATCTGTCATCACTCGTCTAGGGTTTAATGGTGTCTAACAATGGCTAATAGTGACATATATATATTGTTAGACAATGGATAGTAGTGTTAATGATGTAGTGTGTAATGATCACTATATTGTTAGACATTGTTAATGATGTAGTGTTTAATGTAGTGTCTAACAATGGATATTCAACACACTACCAGTGTTTAATGGTGTCTGATATCCACATGTAGTGTGTTGAATGGTGTCTATTTTTTTGTGTTTTCATGGTGTGTCCATGTTTGTGACTGTTTAATGGTGTGTTTATCTGATAGCCACTATCTAATAGTGTTTAATGGTGTCTAATAGTGGCTAAGAGTGTCTGATATCCATATATATATATATATCAGTGTGTTTAATGGTGTCTGATAGATCTACTAGTGGCTAAAATAGATATTTCCGAGCCAGTCTTCAATTGAAATATATCGATATATTGAAATCAAGAGATGTGTGCCATATCTTTGTAGCAAAGCTCGTGGTTGTCAGATGTAGGAACCTCCAAAAAAACCATACGTGGAAGCTGTTGAAGGCACCCAAGTTTCGGAGCTACAAGGGATTTTTCGAACATTCCTTCCCGAAATCCCCGTGTTTCATCACAGCTGGTGAAAAATCCATGTTGATTGGTCACTGGTAGCAGTTTGCGACATAGAAAATGGATGAAAATGGCCCATTTAGTTCGTTGGTTTACCTATCAATAGCATGGTGATTGTCCATATGTTAGTTTACCAATTGGGGTCGTTACTTCATGATTCTCCTCTACCTTGACCCCGTACGCGCTAATCCACAATCTCCTGTGCTCCAAATTCCACATCTTTCTGGTAACCAGTCACCAAACCTCAAGGAATCGGCAATCCCCTCAGCCCACACGTTTTTGGTGGCTTAACGATTGGGTTTCTGGATATGGTCGATACATCTATATGGGTGTGGACGAAACCACCATCCATGAATCACCTTGCAGGTGACCGTAATCCCATGAATCACTAGATAATTCTAGAATAAACATTGGGAACATAAATTATCTTCACAGATTATCACACGTTTGTTTACTATAGATGATGATCAATGATCATTACTGGATATGATCTTCAGGATATCATCACATATGATATCATCTTTTCGCTCACTTTGACCTTCTTTCTACTGACTCTCTCTTCTCTGACTCTTCCCACAACTGTTGCTGCATCTGTCCATAAGTCAGAAGTTTGACTTCTAAACTTCCTTCGATCATTCATGAGCTGGTATATATATAATATGTATATATATATATAGAGCTTGGGCCAGCTCTAGTCTATAGCTATACCATAGTCATGTACATAATCAGGATATCACTGCATCACTTGCCCCAAGCTCTAACCAGCCGGACGCGCGTAGAATCCTTGAAGCCTCTGCACCTGCACAGTGCTTTTGATCCTATGGTGATCATGTCATCAGTTGGTGTTACCCTCTGGTTATGACTAACAGTTCGCCATGGTTAAACGATGGCCCATAGAAATAGATGGTTTACCGTTCTTAAACATGGTGGATTTTTCCATGGCGAACTGTTAAATAACCAGAGGGTATGATGAACTTATTTGGGGCAAAGTAAGATTAATGATGTATGGTTGTATGAATAATATATCAGGATATTAATGCAACAGTGATGAGAATCCAACTGTTATGTCAATGGATTGGTTCAAGGAAAAATCTTCACCGGTAGCCGCGGGTATTTTCCTATGAAATATGAGTGTTTCGTGTAACCTGTCCCTTAAACCAATCCATTGATCGTGGTTTCTGGGGCCGCATAAAATATATGATGATATGTGCAAAATAAAGGAATTGAAACCCCAATATATCATCACAATTTTAGACATATTTCAAGAATGGAATAACAATGGATCTTATAAGTGATTCCGTATCCACTTTTTCCAAATATCCTGGAAGTAATATTATAAAGTTATAATGTATAATAACCCATTTGATATTCAAGTTGCCAAGATATCTAGTAACGTCGACCCTCCAAAAATGCCTTACCAAACCATGCCCAGGTCGCAAGAACACCTCCACGTCTCTATGCGGAGCATCACAGCTCAACCTCTGGGGCGTGTGGACAATGAACAACACCAGCAGTGCACAGAAAACACCACAGAAGTTTTAAGATTCATGGTTTCATGTCAGAATAAGTTCCAAAAAATCTTTGAATTGGTGATTTGTTTTTTAATCATCCGTTCTGGAACATGGCGTGGAGACGAGCCCATTGCTTCACTGAATCTTCTGCAGGTTTGGAATCTTGGAATCTCCATGTAGAAAGTCGTAGAAAATCCCAACGTTTGCTGTAGCAATCTTTCGGAGTCAAAGCTCAGTCGCTTTGATCACATATGTTTATCATCTCAACATATCAAAAAAAACTTATAACATCATAATAATTTATTAAAGATCAAATGGGGGATTATATATCATATATGATGTTATATGTTTTAATATCTCATTAATATCAACTAAAATCACATCAAATCACCCAGTGTTACTGTTGACGGATTGTTCGATTTGTTGGGTGTTTTTCTTGGTTACCCTCTGGTAAACTAACATAACTATGGAAAATCACCATTTTTAATGGGAAAATCCACTATAAATGGCCATGTTCAATAGCTATGTTAAATTACCAGAGGGTACTTCATGTCACTTCCGTCACTATGTCGCCCAGGTACCGATGCAAAGCGTTCACCAGCAGGGCCGTGTCACGAGAGGACCAGCGTGCAGCAGCAAACCTCAGAGATTCAAACAGCAAAAAAAAAAGGTGAGTTGGTGTTTAACCAGTGTTAGTTGGTGTTAGTTCAATTGAAACTGACTGTGTTGGTGTTGGTGATGATATCAAGTTTTTCATTGGAGATGAAAAAAAGCTATGATCAGAGCTGGTGAAATAGCTAGATACTGTTGGCTGAATAAGAATTCATCAAAATTGATACAAAATTGTGGTTTACCCTCTGGTAAACGTTTACATAGCTATGGAAAATCACCATTTTTTTATGGGAAAATCTACTATAAATGGGCAATTTTCAATAGCTACGTTAGTTTACCAGAGGGTAAGCCAGTAAGACATGGGATTTTTGCCAGCAAGAATTGTGATGAGACCACCTTTTGTGTGTGCTTGCAAGACTCTGCCGCGAAGATTCAAAAGGCTCATGATTAGCTAAGCTGGCTATGTCGCACAAATGGATGTTCAGTCACTAACAATGATTGAACAGGGGTTGGTAAATGATGTTTCATATCCCCAATAAAATAGTTGGGTCATGTTCAACAGCTGCTTAAAATTAATCTTCAAAATATTATGATGAAATCCCCAATAGGTCATGTTCAACAGGTACTTAAATTTGATCCTTCTACCATCTGGTTATTTAACATAGCCATGGAAAATCACCATTTTTAATAGGTAAACCATCTATAAATGGGCCATCTATACCATGGCTATGTTAAATAACCAGAGGGTATATGAATATTCTATTGATACATCTAGGGGAGCAACTCCCATCAATCTCCGATCCCTGGGGCAAATCTGAAAACATCTTACACCGCTGCACAAATGTGACGTGCCACAACGGGACCCAACTCCTAGTTGAAGGAAATGCATAGAAACACTTTTTTACACCATGATGGGATATACACTAGATTAGCTGATATAACATGGGATAGTTGAGGGACATTCAAATTAATTACACCATCCTACCCCATGTTGTATCAGCTAATCTAGTGTATATCAGCAGGTACAGTATATTGTGGTTCAAACCCTACATAGCCCCAAAAAAAAATCGATACATGTTCGAGACCAACTCGGCCCTTTTGAGTTTGTCTGAAAATAGGGTACCCGTGAAACTCTCCGATTGTCAGACTATCATGTCAAGTTGGTGAGAAAAAAATCCCATAAACAATCCCCATCCATATCATTTACCCTCTGGTAAACGTTTACATAACTATGGAAAATCACCATGGTTAATGGGTAAATCCACTATAAATGGGCAATTTTCAATAGCTATTGGAGTTTACCAGAGGGTAAAACACAAGTATATCCACCAAACCACCGGTTTTTTTTCGTTAACATCACTATCACAAATCCCCGTAATCCACGAGCTTCACGAGTTTTTTTTGGCCAAAGCACTTGCCTTTCACATAGCTATATGGAAAATCCACATGTTTCGTGGGTAAAGAATGGTACATATATAGATATAGGGATGTTTCACATCCATAAATGGACCATGTTCCATCGCTTCATCAGTTGGTTCCCATCAACGATCCGAACAAAACGAGCAACTGCGATTCCAAGAGATCCAGGTTCTCACGCAGCAGTGCCTTGCTTCGCGGCATGATGCCAGGCAAATTTGCAGAAAGAAACATCATTACTGTTGTAAACATATATATATATGTGGTGTTTTACAAACATATGCTGTAGATATCTATAGATCAATACATATATATATATTTATTCTGTATGGCAAACATACATGTAATCTATAAATATCTATAATATGTTTGACTCCAAAGCTGCATTTTTTTAGCTCAACACCTCTCAAAACATAGGGCACCAATGGCGCTCATCCCGTTGGAGTTCTCCAATGAGCGGTTCCTACTTAGCAATTCCCTTCATATTACAATATATACCCTCTGGCTATTTAACATAGCCATGGTATAGATGGCCCATTTATAGAGGTTTACCTATTAAAAAATTGTGATTTTCCATGGCTATGTTAAATAACCAGATGGTGTATATATATATATACATGTATACACATTATATATAATAGTGATGCTCATTGTATCAATAGTTATATCAATATGGTGCTTTGTAACTGGGATAACTAGTGTCCACTTCATGCGCATGTTGAGCTAGATGGGCGCTTGTAAAAGATCAAAACCATAACTGCATAATCGGTCAGCAGCACCTAGTTGGGTTCATAGTTGTCCCCATTATATATCTAATTGGTGGTCTCAACCCCCCTGAAAAGTATGAACGTCAGATTCGATCATCATCCCAACTATTGGGGAAAATCAAATTCATGTTCCAAACCACCAACCAGATACATATATATATATATATACTTGAGAGGGAAGGGTGAAAGATCGAAAGGTAGGCGTGGGTTGGAACAGGAGAAGAGAGCAAGGGAACGAGGCATATCCGCTGCGGACGGACGTGGGTGGAGTTGGGGCGGATATCGAAAAAAGTCTTCTGGGCTTGGACTCGAGGGCGGGTACCAAAAAGGTAGGTTTCAGGGAGGGGGGACATAGGTCCCCTGATAGCCCAAGACTTGCGCGGGCCGCGGGCCTCCGCGGGCCCTTCGCGGGCTCTCCCCGCGGGCCTTCGCGGGCCCGCGGGCCTGGGGCCCGAGGGTTTTCAGGTCAGCATTTTATCGTCTATATCTTCTTGCATTCTGTCTGGCATCTGTGTCTAGCAAATCTTTTCCGGTATTTATTCTGGCAATCCAACAAATATTTTCAAATATATTCTGGCATAAACTGACATAGTCGGACCCGCGCGTTCTTTCTGGCATATCTTTTGGCGTGCTATCTGGCATATGTGTCTATCTGGCATAACTTCTGACAATTCAAGGCTGCCATGCTATGGCATCTCTTTTGGAATTCTTTCTGGCATACGTGGCTATTGTGTCTTCTCACTTTCAGTGTGGCATTCTATCTCACCCAGGCGCTTGTGATCCAGGTCCGGCGGGCACCACTCTGATCCGGGTTTTGCGGTTGAGGTCAGGCGCGGCGAGGAGGACAAGAAGGAGGAGAGGAGTGGCTGACATAGAATCTCACAACCCGGAACATGCAGGTGAAGGGACAACACTAACAAAGTGAAAGAAGCACATGGAAGCACGATACAGGCAGCACAGTCCCTGTCCGCTATGGTGTTTTATTCAATCAAAGGGCATGGTCACGCGGTATGAAGTTCCAAAGATTCAAAAATGAATGAACTTAAATCATCTTAACCTCTCCGTGTGGACTGAACCCTTGCCTGTTGCTCCCTCCAAAACTCCAAGTTTCTGTACAATCACAGAAAAGCGATTCATGAGCGCCGTCATGCAAAGTAGAGGTCAGTTCGGGCTCTACAAAATCCCATGGGTCAAATCAGACCTTGCATTCACAAAATCCCAGCCTACGCCTACAACGCCATTTTTTCAGTGCACTTTTGGGTGGGATCCTCACAAATTGATGACCCCAGGATGCTGGCACCGCAAGGTTTGTCCAATTGAACCCATTTGAAAAAACTAATATTTCATAATACTTCTCCAGAGGCTATTTTATAATACTCACTGGTCTCGTTTTAGGTATGGGCGCCTCTAAGAGGCCGTGCTTTTTTGAGGTTTTTGGGGTGGGGTGGGGTGGCAGGTAGTTGCAATAACGTTCATGTCTCTTGTGTGCAAGGTGATGCGGCGTGGATGCTGCAGAGATGTTACGTTGATCATACGTTGATTCTACGTTGAGGAGATGTTGATGCTACTGTTGGGGTGGGGTGGGGTGGGGGGGGTGTGGGGGGGTGCAATATCATTCATGTCTCTTGCGTGCAAGTTGATGCGACGTGGATGCTACGTTGATGTTACGTTGATCATACTTTGATGCTACGTTGAGGAGACGTTGATGCTACTGTTGCGGTTGGGTGGGGTGGGGGGTGCAATAACGTTCATGTATCTCTTGCGTGCAAGGTGATGCGACGTGGATGATACGCTGATGATACATTGATCATGCGCTGTTGATACGTTGATGCTAGGTTGATGGTACGTGGATGATACGTTGACGTTAGGTTGATCATGCGTTGATGATACGTTGATCATGCGCTGTTGATACGTTGACGTTACGTTGATCATGCGTTGATGATACGTTGATCATGCGCTGTGGATACGTTGATGTTACGTTGATCATGCGTTGATGATACGTTGATGATACTTGGCCGCAAAAGCGGCTGAAACAAAGACGTCGGCAACGCAGAAGAAAACGCGTAACGCTGTCTTTTCCAAGCTGATGGCTTTCGTCCCACAAAAACCATTAAAATCACACCGTGACTCTCATTTTTCCATACCCTTCCATGACTTTTGATACACCCACAAAATATAGATATCTGTGAAAAACCGCTCTCGTTGTGGCAAAACCTTGGAACATAATTGAATAGAAACATATCCATGTGCTGAAACACACGGCCTCTTAGAGGCGCCCTTACCTTTTAGGGTCTAGATCCGTGGGGTTTACATCAGCTACCTTTTTCAGCTAAAGTAGGATGTCTCAAAGCAGCCTCAACTGAGACATCTTGAACACTGTCTAAGGTCAACAATGCCATATCGTGCTTCCAAAAATTGCTCAGAATTGCTCGACATGACCCCAACTTGCCCGACAAAAATGCTCAAAATTGTTTGAAATTTGCTCGAAAAGACCCAAGCTGGTCCACAAAAACGGTTCCAAAATGCTCAAAATTCTTCAAATTTGCTCAGAATGTCTCAAAATGTGCGAATGTTTTCATTACTTTGCATTCCTGTTGCCGGTCTCTACTTGGAAGTGCGGCCCTTCTTATAACTAGTTGCAACGGTTGTTTGAGTTATAAGTCATGCAATAAGCCTGACAAGTCATGCAATAAGTCTAGCAAGTCAGTCGATAAGTCCAACAACTAAGAATAAGTAGGAAACCTACTTGTTAAGTATGTATACTTACTTAGTAAGTGAGACACCTACTTGTCTAGATTATATCTAGTTAACGTCCTACTTGTATATAGTTGCTAGTTACTTACGGAGGACTTGTTCCACTTAACGTAACTAGAACAATCAAGCCTATAACTAGATTCCTAGATAATGTCCTACTTAGTAAGTAGGACCGGTCCTACTTAGTAAGTCAGACCGGTTGGACTCGTGCTACTTATTAAGTCAGACATGTTCCACTTATAAGTCAGACGTGTTCGACTTATAAGTCGAACACGTCCGACTTATAAGTCAAACATGTCCGACTTATAAGTCGAACACGTCCGACTTATAAGTCGAACATGTCTGACTTAATAAGTAGCACAAGTCCAACCGTAAATACTTACAAGTAGACGACAACTTGGTTGTCGCACTTACCTAAGTCAAACCATAAGTCTAGCATGACTGACTTAGTAAGTCCAACTATAAGTGATACAGTAACTGGAACGATAACCATAACAAGTATAACAACTAGTTATAAGCAGGGCCGCACCTCCAAGTAGTGTTGCACGGGCTTAAGGTCACGGTGGACTACTTAGCGTTGTTTAGCAGTTGCTTGGTTGCTCTTGGTGTCTTTTTTGTTGCTAAGTTAAATGTGTGTGATGTGTTCAAGTATGCATCCAGTCTGTCACTGAAACTATTCACCACCATCATTGATGCCAAGGTATTAAGCTGGTTGACAGTGTGACCAGTTTTATTTTGGTTTTGGTTATCTATAAAACATTCCACCTGACCACTGAGTCATTCACATCCATGCGTGAACAGATCTGGTTGGCATTGGTCCTCTTGGTCCTATGTTTGTCTCAAAGCATCCACCTCGTCATTATTTCAATCTAAGTGATCAGGGAAATAGTGTTGCCCAGCGTCCCAGTTGATATCCATAGAATGCCTACAGAGGAAAACCTACTAGTAAGGTTGCATACCCCATACGGGGGTTGTATATAATAAGTTTCAAGTTCCATGGATTCCATGATTATATATTTTTGTTAATGGTGTGTAAATTATATGTGGGCATAGTCGTGATAAATCCACTTGTAACAGCCGAATTGTTATTGTGAGCCCTTGGTCAACTTCCACAGCCAAGCGCCCCAGCAGGTTTATTTTTTGCTCAAAATCGTTTTGCCATCGCATCTGCAGTCTGTTTACCTTGCCATGGAAATGCTGTTAAACCCGCGAAGAATATTTAAGGACATCTTAAATACGGACTTGTCTACGGACAAGGTCTGATTATTTTTTGATCCAAGGTCCACGGGCCGCATTGAATGAACCTTTACGGAGGTACTGTCCACGGACAAAGTAAAAGTATAAGGACAGATCTGCACTTCGTCTTATGGACAGGAAAGTCATAGTCTACGGACTGACTTGCGGGTCTACTGACACATCATTGGTTCTGGTCTACGGACAGGAAAATCATAGTCTACGGACAAGATTTGAGAGTCTACGGACACATGCCGCGGGGAGTGTTTGCGGACAATTTTAAATGTGACTGTCTACGGACATGTGTGTTTCAAGACTTGCTTGAGGAAGCTGCTGCATTACAAGGAGTTCCAAAGAAAGTTGTGAGAGCCATGCAAAGGGCAGCTGAGGAACACAAGCTTCCTGCGCGCGCAGTGGATGCAAGCCTTGGCGATG